AACCAGGATTTCTGGAAAACCTGGGAAATGTACCAGAATTTTGCAACCTTAACTGTTAATCACATTATGCTGGCTTGCAAAGTGATATGTAATTCCTTTTGGAATCTAGCCAGTGTTAGGCTAGTCAACAGTTGAAATGTGTATTTACCCGCAACCTGCATTCATAATGATTACCAGGGTTAAGAACAGTGTGAGGAAACTACCTAAACCATTTAAACTGGAACAACAATTTCAGTAATGGGTGCAAAAATGAAATGATTGGATTAGTTTAGAGAAAATGTGTTTATCTTTGTGTAGCATAACATTTAATCAATCAATCACTCAATGTACATGCAAAAACACAGATATTAAAAACAATTCCAAAAAATCTACCTGCAGTAGATGCTGGGAAAAAAGTTCATTTGTTATCATATCTTTTAAAAATTAGTTGGTGTGACTTCTCATTTATTTTTGAGTCAGTACCACATAAACATTTAAAGTAATAATTACTTTTCATTGACTTTGATTACAACTTACTAGAAGTATTTGAGTTCAACATTCCCTTGGGGTTTACAGTGTAGTTGAATTAGTGTGTTTTAAACAGTGGCATAAAGTACTTAAGTAAAAATACTTTAAAGTACTACTTAAGTCGTTTTTTGGGGTATCTGTACTTTACTTTACTTATTACTATTTATTTTTGACTACATTCCTAAAGAAAATAATGTACTTTTTACTCCATACATTTTCCCTGACACCCAAATGTAGTCGTTACATTTTGAATGCTTAGCAGGATAGGAAAATGGCCCAATTCACGCACTTATCAAGAGAACATCCCTGGCATCCCTACTGCCTCTGATCTGGCGGACTCACTAAACACAAATGATTCATTTGTAAATGATGTCTGAGTGTTGTAGTGTGCCCCGGGCTATCCAGAAAAAAAAAAGAAAAAAAAGAAAAAAAAGAAAATTGTGCTGTCTGGTTTGCTTAATATAAAAAATTATTTATACTTTTACTTTTACTTTTGATACTTAAGTATATTTTTGAAATTACATTTACTTTTGATACTTAAGTATATTTAAAACAAAATACTTTTAGACTTTTACTCAAGTAGAATTTTACTGGATGACTTTCACTTTTACTTGAGTCATTTTCTATTAAGGTATCTTTACTTTTACTCAAGTATGACAATTGGGTACTTTTTCCACCACTGGTTTTAAAACATTAAATAATACCAGTGAGATTGGTACGGTTTTCCCATGACTCACATACAGGAACCGTAAACCGAAATTGGGCCCTTGGTCTTTATCTTATTTTTTTATTTTTAAGTTAAGTGCTGTAGGCTACCTTGCCCAAGGGTATGGCAACAGTGTTGTGCCAGGTTTTAAAATAAGAGCACTCTGATCCAATAGATACACACCTACTGTATATAATTCATTAGGATATTAAGCCATGGATAAAGGCAAGTTGAGGCCTGAGTCCACTCTGAACACCTACATATTATAACTTTATGTACGTGTTGGGTCATACTTGTTCAGTGCAGAATCTCAAATGAATTATTAACTTGCTTGATTGGATCCACTAAATTCACCGGAGAGAAAAATCTGCTTTTGGCCCTGTATGAATACTGCTCTTTTGTTTTGACTGCCTACAGTTTAACAACCCGAGATATGGGTCATGAAATGTTACTAAGATTAGTAATGGGTCATGAAGTGTTACTAAGATCATCATACAATAATATTACCTATGAGATTTCCTCATAGGTAATGCTCAGTGATGTGCTACATTAGGCCTATATGCCTTTAGAAGTATTTTTAGACCAACATTTTTGGGGCACATCTTTTAATTTTTATACAAAATTATAAACGCAACATGTGAAGTGTTGGTCCCATGTTTCATAAATTGAAATAAAAGATCCCAGAAATTTCCTTATATACGCACCAAAAATTTATTTCTCACATTTTGTGCACAAATTAGTTTACAGTGGGGGAAAAAAAGTATTTAGTCAGCCACCAATTGTGCAAGTTCTCCCACTTAAAAAGATGAGAGAGGCCTGTAATTTTCATCATAGGTACACGTCAACTATGCCAGACAAAATGAGGAAAAAAATCCAGAAAATCACATTGTAGGATTTTTAATGAATTTATTTGCAAATTATGGTGGAAAATAAGTATTTGGTCAATAGCAAAAGTTTCTCAATACTTTGTTATATACCCTTTGTTGGCAATGACACAGGTCAAACGTTTTCTGTAAGTCTTCACAAGGTTTTCACACACTGTTGCTGGTATTTTGGCCCATTCCTCCATGCAGATCTCCTCTAGAGCAGAGATGTTTTGGGGCTGTCGCTGGGCAACACTTTCAACTCCCTCCAAAGATTTTCTATGGGGTTGAGATCTGGAGACTGGCTAGGCCACTCCAGGACCTTGAAATGCTTCTTACGAAGCCACTCCTTCGTTGCCCGGGCAGTGTGTTTGGGATCATTGTCATGCTGAAAGACCCAGCCACGTTTCATCTTCAATGTCCATGCTGATGGAAGGAGGTTTTCACTCAAGATCTCACGATACATGGCCCCATTCATTCTTTCCTTTACACGGATCAGTCGTCCTGGTCCCTTTGCAGAAAAACAGCCCCAAAGCATGATGTTTCCACCCCCATGCTTTACAGTAGGTATGGTGTTCTTTGGATGCAACTCAGCATTCTTTGTCCTCCAAACACGACGAGTTGAGTTTTTACCAAAAAGTTCTATTTTGGTTTCATCTGACCATATGACATTCTCCCAATCCTCTTCTGGATCATCCAAATGCACTCTAGAAAACTTCAGACGGGCCTGGACATGTACTGGCTTAAGCAGGGGGACACGTCTGGCACTGCAGGATTTGAGTCCCTGGCGGCGTAGTGTGTTACTGATGGTAGGCTTTGTTACTTTGGTCCCAGCTCTCTGCAGGTCATTCACTAGGTCCCCCCGTGTGGTTCTGGGATTTTTGCTCACCGTTCTTGTGATCATTTTGACCCCACAGGGTGAGATCTTGCGTGGAGCCCCAGATCGAAGGAGATTATCAGTGGTCTTGTATGTCTTCCCTTTCCTAATAATTGCTCCCACAGTTGATTTCTTCAAACCAAGCTGCTTACCTATTGCAGATTCAGTCTTCCCAGCCTGGTGCAGGTCTACAATTTTGTTTCTGGTGTCCTTTGACAGCTCTTTGGTCTTGGCCATAGTGGAGTTTGGAGTGTGACTGTTTGAGGTTGTCTTTTATACTGATAACAAGTTCAAACAGGTGCCATTAATACAGGTAACGAGTGGAGGACAGAGGAGCCTCTTAAAGAAGAAGTTACAGGTCTGTGAGAGCCAGAAATCTTGCTTGTTTGTAGGTGACCAAATACTTATTTTCCACCATAATTTGCAAATAAATTCATTAAAAATCCTACAATGTGATTTTCTGGATTTGTTTTCCTCAATTTGTCTGTCATAGTTGACGTGTACCTATGATGAAAATTACAGGCCTCTCTCATCTTTTTAAGTGGGAGAACTTGCACAATTGGTGGCTGACTAAATACTTTTTTTCCCCACTGTACATCCCTGTTAGTGAGCATTTCTCCTTTGCCAAGATAATCCATCCACCTGACAGGTGTGGCATATCAAGAAGCTGATTAAACAGCATGATCATTACACAGGTGCACCTTGTGCTGGGGACAATAAAAGGCCACTATAAAATGTGCAGTTTTGTCGCACAACACAATGCCACAGATGTCTCAAGAATGTCTACCAGAGCTGTTGCCAGAGAATTGAATGTTCATTTCTCTACCATAAGCCTCCTCCAACGTTGTTTTAGAGAATTTGGCAGTACCTCCAACCGAACTCACAACCGCAGATCACGTGTAACCATGACAGCCCAGGACCTCCACATCCGGCTTCTTCACCTGCGGGATCATCTGAGACCAGCCACCAGGACAGCTGATGAAACTGAGGAGTATTTCTGTCTGTAATAAAGCCCTTTTGTGGGGAAAAATTCATTCTGATTGGCTGGGATCATTTCCCAGTCATGTGAAATCCATAGATGAGGGCCTAATTAATTAATTTCAATTGACTGATTTCCTTATATGAACGGTAACTCAGTAAAAGTTATTCGAAATTGCAGCATGTTGCATTTATATTTTTGTTCAGTAAACATTATCGCTGTCTATCATGACAGCATTTTTTTGTGGTTTATTTTAAGTCGTTTTTAAATATTGATAAAACTTCTGATACTCAATATTCAATGTGCAATGCTCACAATATTCCTAGCTTTGAATGAATTATATATTTTCATACTTGTGCTTGTTACATTTCTGTTCTTGGGGACATACAGTAAATCTAGTCCTAAACCAGAACCCAACAATTGCATGTCACACTTCTGGTTGTCATTGCCTTTAATTAAGCCAATGGAAAGTGAGTGACACAGTGTCTGCGTCCAGGCTCTGGTCAAAAGTAGTGCACTATGTAGGGAAAATGGTGCCATTTGGCACACAACCACTTTGTCTTTTACTGACCTGAAAACACTCTTAAATAAGAGTTACTAATTTTACGTAAGATGTTTACCCTCTCAGTATAAACAGGTAATGGAATAGACAGTCAGATGAGAGGCCACCTGATCTTGAACGCTGCCTTGAGCCTACTTTTAGTGCATGTGGTGTTGAGGCGTCATCCTGGCGATGGTGCACACCTAATCAGGCCTGAGGCCACATCCACTGTCATTTCCTTCACTGCTTGTGAACCTCAGGTTGTCATTTTATGAGATGTACCTTTGAGGGGCACATTAGGTAGGACGTTATGTTAGGCTTTGATAATACTCTGGTGTTTCTTTGGAATTGGAATTGGAAACAGGAATGAGACACATTTATTTTAATATCGCAGCTGTTGCCACTGATATTTGAGTATGTTTTCTCTACAAAAATGTGACAAAAGTAATGGTAATCATTTACAGAAGGCAGGCTATACACCCTTCTATAAATTATTATTCACCAGCACTGTACTGTATAAATTCAGCATGTATACCGTGCCTTTGTATTCTCCCATTTGTACCAAATCAGTGTTGAGAATTCAATTTCATCACCTACCCCCCTAATTTGTCCTCCCTTGCCCCATCTCCTCTTTTCCTTGTCCTTCCCTCCATCACTAACACCTTCTAACCTCTGGCTTGGTCTCTTCCAGACATCATGTCCACTACGTGATCCCGTACGATGGGGACCATTCTCTGGTGGACTCGTCGGAGAACTACTTTGTAGGTGACAGCGTGACCAAGCAGGAGATGGACCTGATGCTGGGGCTGCTGCTGGGCTTCTGTATCAGCTGGCTCCTGCTGTGGCTGGATGGAGTGCTGCACTGTGCTGTCAGGGCATGGAGAGCCAGTCGCTACTATGGTGAGTCAACCAGAGACTTGGTCTGTTTGACTGGGGAAAGTTTTACATGGACTGACTGGAACGTCAACAAGGTTGACAAACGTGCAGCAGAATGAGCAGAACATTTTTCAATCATCTGATGACAGAAGTATTGTTTGGTTGATTCCCACCTCTGTGAAAAGAGAGATGGTGAGTGAAGTGGCGTATGTGCTAATATTTCGACTGCCATATTGATCAGTGTTTCTCCTACATCTTTTCTTGGGGATGTGACGTGGGTGTGCAAATGCCCAGAATGGACATACAGGCTGCTGTTGACCACTGCACCATTAATTGAAACCAATTGAAACCAGGCTTTCTTGGGTGGGCGGATAGCCCAACCCACCTGGCTATAAGTGATGGTTATGGGAAACTTTACAGAACTTGAGGACATAAGGAATCAGTTGTTTACTCAAATAAAACATTCATAGGGGAAAGGGAAAAGTGTGTTCCAGACTAAATGTATTGTCTCACAGGATATTTACTGTACAGTACTGTATACAGTGTGTTGTGGTCATGAATTAGAATTACGACGTTATGCAGATAATTACTACTGTATAAGTGGGAGAAGGAATTTGGAAAAATATTACTTTGTTTCCATTGAGGGGGGATAGTTATGTGTGTAAAATATTGCTGCCTTCAGATGTCATGTGTTTAGTACATACTGATTCACTGAAACAAATATGTCCTACCTAGCACAGAGGGCATGTGTCTGTACACCAGGAAGACATACAATGATCAACTGTCTCAATTCTTACCAATGTTAGTCTAGTGAGCCAGACCTCACTGGGGGAGAGTGTATGCCAATGTGAACATATTACATATTAGAGGACTTCTTGTCCATACTTCTTCTCCTGATTCAATAACTTGTCCAGTCCCACTGGGCACAGACACCAGCTCAACGTCTAGTTTTGATTTACATTTGGTTGAGTTGTCAACTAACGTGAAATAAAAAAAACATTTCACCATGTCATTGGATTTAGGTTCAAAGTTAGGTGAAAGAAATACTAAATTCTCTTACGTTGATTACTTTTTCCAAATCCAATCAGTTTTCCACATTGATTCAACATCATAATTTATGGTTGAAATGACAAGGAAACAACGTTGATTCAACCAGTTTTTGCCCAGTGGGGTGTTCTTATAAGGTGTTGGAATACTCCAGTTGCTTCAGCTACACATTATCTTGTGCAGCTCTCAATGTCAAAACAGGCCTATATTTTGTAGCTGGCCTGGATCCTTTAGATATAAGACATTGCTGAAGTAGGTGATATGACCTGGCTATTCCAATTGCTGATACGGTCAGAAAATAGAGGGGCATAATGTCTAGTGAGTATAAATATAAGAGATTGCCAATTAATCACCTCTGATTAATATGAAACCACCACACAAAGATGGGGTACTAAAAAAAACTATTATTTTATGTCTTGAAAATACTACATTAAAAAGTAGGGATGCCATACTCTTTTGATACATGTCTTATTTTTATTGATGATAAATGAGAATGTGGAGATGTGAAGCATTCAAATATTGCCAGTCTTAGATTCTATGATTCTAGAAGTATTAGTAAAGATACAACTGCTTCATATTTGCAGCACAGAATCAACCCATTTGCTATTCAGTGCATAACATCAACATAAAAAAATACACCAAGATTTTACATTCAAGTGATTCCCTTGAGGTAGATGGGTGGCTTTTCTTTGTGCTGGAATCCTTGTGAATGGAGGGAATGCCCCTTCACTGGTGTGTTTGGCTGTGATGTTGATGGTGGGTCAGACTCGTTTAGCCTCCCTGAGATGGGGAGTGAAGGTGAGGCTAATGAAGCGGGAAGATAGGTGGGTGTGGAGATACTGTCACATACCCACCCACACATACTCTCTCTCTCTCTCTCTCTCTCTCTCTCTCTCTCTCTCTCTCTCTCGCTCTCTCTCTCGCTCTCTCTCAGGGAGCTATAAATAGAGTGAGAGAGAGCAGCTGGAATGGCGGGTGAGGGAGAAACATGCACACCACACAAACACAGACTGCATTGAGGTGCACATTGATTCCTTTAGCTTTTCTAATTTCATCTATAGACCCTGCATCTCCTGCTCTCCATTTAGTTATTGAATCTGCCTCTATCCATTTTCTTTATATGGCATCCTTTTGGTGATCCCTTTCGTACTGTCTATTTCTCATGAATAACTGATTCATATTCTTTGGCACCAGTTTCATCAGTGGAAATACATTTTATTTAGCAAAATAAGGAAACAAAATATGATAACAAAAGGGGAAATTATGATTTGGATAACAATGGCCCCCCTCCCCTCCCTCCGTAAAAATACCTTCACATTTCTACCCTCACCCCACTTTCTGCATTACCATTTACATTTTTCTCCTGACTCCATCTCCATCTCTCCATCCTTTTATTCAAATGAGAAGAACCTGTCTCGTTCTCTCTTTTCCTTTGGATACCCTTCTGAACTGTCCTTGTGGATTGCATACCCATTCACAGCTATAAATAACTCACTCCTCCCTCCCTGCCAGCGACCCCCACTTCCCACCACCTGCCTCCCCGTACTCCCCCCTCTCCCCAACCTCTAGTGGGGCCATGTGCTAGTGGGTGGAGGAGCTCTCCCTCCTCTTTCTCTGCCGTCTCAGCGGGCCTCACCTCGCCAGCTAAGCCTGACAGAGACAAATCCCTGCACTTCCATTTCTACAAATTCTACCTCATACTCATATACTTTAATAATGTACACTACCGTTCAAAAGTTTGGGGTCACTTAGAAATGTCCTTGTTTTCGAAAGAAAATCAATTTTTTTGTCCATTAAAATAACATCAAATTGATCAGAAATACAGTGTAGACATTGTTAATGTTGTAAATGGCTATTGTAGCTGGAAACAGCTGATATTTAATGGAATATCTATATAGGCGTACAGTGGCCCATTATCAGCAACCATCAGTCCTGTGTTCCAATGGCACGTTGTGTTTGCTAATCCAAGTTTATCATTTTAAAAGGCTAATTGATCATTAGAAAACCCTTTTGCAATTATGTTAGCACAGCTGATTAAAGAAGCAATAAAACTGGCCTTCTTGAGACTAGTTGACTATCTGGAGCATCAGCAATTGTGGGTTCGATTACAGGCTCAAAATGGCCAGAAACAAATAACTTTCTATTTTTGTTCACACATTCTCTCTCTCTCTCTCTCTCTCTCTCTCTCTCTCTCTCTCTCTCCTCTCTCTCTCTCTACCTCTACCTCTACCTCTACCTCTACCTCTCTCTCTCTCTCTACCCCACTCCAGCCGACGCTTGGCATTGTGTGAGGCTGCTCGGCCATGGAAACCCATTTCATGAAGCTCCTCACTAACAGTTATTGTGCTGACGTTGCTTCCAGAGGCAGTTTGGAACTCGGTAGTGAGTGTTGCAACCAAGGACAGACAATTTTTGGTGGGCGCTACGAGCTTCAGCACTCGGTGGTCCCGTTCTGTGAGCTTGTGTGGCCTGCCAGTTCGAGGCTGAGCCGTTGTTGCTCCTAGATGTTTCCACTTCACAATAGCATAATTTACAGTTGCCGGGGAAGCTCTCGCAGGGCAGAATGACAAAATGACTTGTTGGAAAGGTGGCATCCTATGACGGTGCCACGTTGAAAGTCACTGAGCTCTTCAGTAAGGCCATTCTACTGCCAATGTTTGTCTATGGAGATTGCATGGCTGTGTGCTCGATTTTATACACCTGTCAGCAACGGGTGTGGCTGAAATAACCAAATCCATTATTTGAATGGGTGTCCACATACTTGTATACAGTGGGGAAAAAAAGTATTTAGTCAGCCACCAATTGTGCAAGTTCTCCCACTTAAAAATATGAGAGAGGCCTGTAATTTTCATCATAGGTACACGTCAACTATGACAGACAAAATGAGAAAAATAAATCCTGAAAATCACATTGTAGGATTTTTAATGAATTTATTTGCAAATTATGGTGGAAAATAAGTATTTGGTCAATAACAAAAGTTTCTCAATACTTTGTTATATACCCTTTGTTGGCAATGACACTAGTCAAACGTTTTCTGTAAGTCTTCACAAGTTTTTCACACACTGTTGCTGGTATTTTGGCCCATTCCTCCATGCAGATCTCCTCTAGAGCAGTGATGTTTTGGGGCTGTCGCTGGGCAACACAGACTTTCAACTCCCTCCAAAGATTTTCTATGGGGTTGAGATCTGGAGACTGGCTAGGCCACTCCAGGACCTTGAAATGCTTCTTACGAAGCCACTCCTTCGTTGCCCGGGCGGTGTGTTTGGGATCATTGTCATGCTGAAAGACCCAGCCACGTTTCATCTTCAATGCCCTTGCTGATGGAAGGAGGTTTTCACTCAAAATCTCACGATACATGGCCCCATTCATTCTTTCCTTTACACGGATCAGTCGTTCTGGTCCCTTTGCAGAAAAACAGCCCCAAAGCATGATGTTTCCACCCCCATGCTTCACAGTAGGTATGGTGTTCTTTGGATGCAACTCAGCATTCTTTGTCCTCCAAACACGACGAGTTGAGTTTTTACCAAAAAGTTCTATTTTGGTTTCATCTGACCATATGACATTCTCCCAATCCTCTTCTGGATCATCCAAATGCACTCTAGCAAACTTCAGATGGGCCTGGACATGTACTGGCTTAAGCAGGGGGACATGTCTGGCACTGCAGGATTTGAGTCCTTGGCGGCGTAGTGTGTTACTGATGGTAGGCTTTGTTACTTTGGTCCCAGCTCTCTGCAGGTCATTCACTAGGTCCCCCCGTGTGGTTCTGGGATTTTTGCTCACCGTTCTTGTGATCATTTTGACCCCACGGGGTGAGATCTTGCGTGGAGCCCCAGATCGAGGGAGATTATCAGTGGTCTTGTATGTCTTCCATTTCCTAATAATTGCTCCCACAGTTGATTTCTTCAAACCAAGCTGCTTACCTATTGCAGATTCAGTCTTCCCAGCCTGGTGCAGGTCTACAATTTTGTTCCTGGTGTCCTTTGACAGCTCTTTGGTCTTGGCCATAGTGGAGTTTGGAGTGTGACTGTTTGAGGTTGTGGACAGGTGTCTTTTATACTGATAACAAGTTCAAACAGGTGCCATTAATAAAGGTAACGAGTGGAGGACAGAGGAGCCTCTTAAAGAAGAAGTTACAGGTCTGTGAGAGCCAGAAATCTTGCTTGTTTGTAGGTAACCAAATACTTATTTTCCACCATAATTTGCAAATAAATTCATAAAAAATCCTACAATGTGATTTTCTGGAAAAAACAATTCTCAATTTGTCTGTCATAGTTGACGTGTACCTATGATGAAAATTACAGGCCTCTCTCATCTTTTTAAGTGGGAGAACTTGCACAATTGGTGGCTGACTAAATACTTTTTTCCCCCACTGTATATAGTGTACATACCACGTACAGTATGGGTAATAGGGATGTAACATTTTAAATTCGGCAGATTAATGTGTGGGTGTAACAGTATTGCAACCGTCCCACTCCTCACCCCATTTTGAGCTTGAACCAGGGACCCTCTGCACACATTGACAACCGTCACCCTCAAAGCATCGTTACAAAGCTCTCCACAAAAGCCGCGGCCCTTGCAGAGCAAGGGAAACAACTACTTCAAGGTCTCAGAGCGAGTGACGTCACCAATTGAAATGCTACTAGCGCGCACCGCTAACTAGCTAGCCATTTTACACCGGTTACATGGGCAACACATGAGTATGTAGGATTGATCTATTGTACTACCAACAATTAGGTTGGTGGGAGTATCAAGGATATTTTGGACATCTTGGGCATCTAATATAACTAACCAAATGCATTCATATTCTCTTATTAACCCCACAATGAGATAAACGTTCTAATCGTTTATCTTACTTCTCTAGTTTATTCACCCCTCTAACTACCTCCCTCTCTCCTCTTGTCTACCAGACACCCCTTCCTGGTCATGGCTCCCCTCGTTCTGCAACCTTCGAGACCTGCGTCGACGCGCCCAGCTCAGACAGCTGGAGGACTCCAGTGGCAACATGGTCCACATCAAGCAGAAGCTCTACCACAACGGCCACCCCAGCCCACGCCACCTCTGACTCTGAAACAAGAATCCCCTGCCCCAGCCCCCCCAAACTGCCTCATGGCCAACTGCTGCCTCAGAGACCCTGGAAGACTGCCCTCTCACTGTTCCTAACACCCCTGGCACTGAGACTTTCTTAATGCAACCCTGACACAAGTCAGCACCAACCAATCCAAACTCGAGCAGAAGAAGAAGATAGTCGCTACTGAAATCTTGTCTATGTCCACATTTGCTGTGTTCATTGTTGAAACTTGGCATGCTCTTTTAGGACAGGGTACGATGCGGGCAGTGTCCGGAAAGTGGGGGGAGTAAGAATGGGGGACACATAGTTTTTTTTTCTCTATGGGGAGGGTCTTTCTCTAAAGTGGGAGGGAGGTAAATGGAAAGGGGTGGGTTTCAAGATTTTGTGATGGGAAGATTAGATTGCTGCTTCTGTAAATACTTATAAATATGGGGAAGTAGGAACACAGGGTACGGGTGGGTTTGTTCATGAGTGTGGTGAGTCAATTGTTACGAGTAGAGCTGATGGACTGTATGGGAGGATGAACGGAGGGTAGGAAAGATGAGGATGACAGCCGTCTGGGGTTGAAGAGTGTGATTTCAGCTAAAGACACAGATTAATTAGCTTTGTTACTTTGTGAATTAAATGAATGTTTTAATTTTACATGTAAATATAAGAGGGGGAGGGGAGCATACGTTTGCGGTCAGGGTTCTCTGCGCTGTGTTATTATTTATGAGAAGGTCGAAAATAAATTGATGCCAGCCCAGATAAGACAGGAGAGACAGTTCAGTGCTTCCCTCGTCTTCCCAATACTGTGTCCAATAGCACTTCCCAATTTGCTATATCCAATTGCCTCATACTTATCAGGAGCAACCAGCCTAGCAGCAGCGGAACCCTCACTCAGTCCCCCTCCCCCTCTCTGTCCAGACATTGCTGTTGTGAGGATAAAATGTCTGTTTTATTAAAAGTGCCATTGAAGCACAACAGTGACCCCTAATGATTGAATGTGTCATTGCCTCAACATCGGTAGATATACTGTCCAATAGATACACTTCTGTACACATTTATTTAGTGAAGTTAAAGATTTTAAATTGGTTCTATACTCCAGCATTTTGGATTTGAGATGAAATGTTTTATATGAGGTGACAATACAGAATGTCTGTTTTACCGTTTTAGAAATGAAAGCACTTTATGTATCTGGTCCCCCCATTTGAAGGTGTCATAAATCTTTGGACAATTCCCTTAGTGAATTCAATTCAGTAAAAAGTTGAGTACTTGGTCCCATATTCCTATCACACAATGACTACGTCAAGCTTGTGACTCTACAAACTTGTTGGATGCATTTGCAGTTTGTTTTGGTTGTGCCCAATATAAATGAATGGTAAATAATATATTGTGTCATTTTGGAGTCATTTTTATTGTAAATGAGAATAGAATATGTTTCTGAACACTTCTACATTCATGTGGATGCTACAATGATTACGGATAATCATGAATGAATCGTGAATAATGATGGGGGAGAAAGTTACAGATGCACAAAGATCATGCCCCCAAAACATGTTAACCTCTCATCATTACCAATAACAGGGGAGGTTAGCATTTTTTGGGGGGTATGATATTTATGCCTCTGTAACTTTTGACTAAATGTAATATACTATAAGTGAATTTGTCAAAATACTTATGACACCTTCAAATGGGGGGACTAGATACATAAAATGCTTTCATTTCTAAACAGTAAAATATATTTATGAAAATACCCTGAAATAAAAGGTGACTGATTCTGTATTGGTGCCTCATATAAAACATGTAATCTCAAATCCAAAATGCTGGAGTATAGAGACTATTCAGCAACATTTAACGTTTTAGCTTCGCTAAATAATGACATAGGGGAGTGTACACTACCAGGGTTGAATGAGTAGGTGTGTCCAAACTTTTGACTGGTACTGTATGTATGAGAAAGAAGCATTCCCGGGGACCTTACTATTCAGCATCCCTTCACCCATCCCTGCTAACTAGGATAGGATATAAACAGGGTACATTTGTAAGATCTTTTTATTATAACTGTAGCCTAAACAATGCATGCATTTATTATGACTGCTTCTTGTTCACATACACTGAGCATACTGCTCTTTCCATGACAGACTGACCAGTGAAAGCTATGTTCCCTTATTGATGTCACTTGTTAAATCCACTTTAATCAGTGTAGATGAAGGGGAGGAGACAGGTTAAAGAAGGATTTTTAAGCCTTGAGACAATTGAGACATGGATTGTGTATGTGTGCAATTCAGAGGGTGAATGGGAAAGACAAAAGATTTAAGTGCCTTTGAACGGGTTATGGTTGTAGTGCCAGGCGCACCTGTTTGTGTCAAGAACTGCAACGCTGCTTGGTTTTTCACGCTCAACAGTTTCCTGTGTGTATCAAGAATGGTCCACTACCCAAAGACATCCAGCCAACTTAACACAACTGTCGGAAGCATTGGAGTCAACATGGGCCAGCATCCCTGTGGAACGCTTTCGACGTTGTGTAGAGTCCATGCCCCGAATTGAGGCTGTTCTGAGGGCAAAAGAGGGGGGTGCAGCTCAATATGCATGTAGAGGTCTGTAATTTTGATCATAGGTACACTTCAACTGTGAGAGACGGAATCTAAAACAAAAATCCAGAAAATCACATTGTACGATTTTTAAGTAATTAATTTGCATTTTATTGCATGACATAAGTATTTGATCACCTACCAACCAGTAAGAATTCCAGCTCTCACAGACCTGTTAGTTTTTCTTTAAGAAGCCCTCCTGTTCTCCACTCATTAACTGTATTAACTGCACCTGTTTGAACTCGTTACCTGTATAAAAGACACCTGTCCACACACTCAATCAAACAGACTCCAACCTCTCCACAATGGCCAAGACCAGAGAGCTGTGTAAGGACATCAGGGATACAATTGTAGACCTGCACAAGGCTGGGATGGGCTACAGGACAATAGGTGTTGTATCTAAATAATATGATGCTAATTATGCTATGAGACCAAGGAGTCTGCTTACACTGTACTTTGATTATAAAGGTTTATTTATATCACAAGATTTCAGTGTAAATTGACAGACATCTGCAGGCATCTGGAGAACAACGGACTCAAAATAATATGTTGTGCTGTTCTCCTTTGTTTTAACCGTGGTATTTATATCCTATGCCCTATGTAACATAATATGGATGTTTTCCCATAAACCAATCCCAGGAGGCCACCTAACAGACTTCTTCTAACACACCATTTGCAAACATCAACAAAGTCATAAACTGTTTAAACACTACATAGGCAAGCAGCTTGGTGAGAAGGCAACAACTGTTGGCGCAATTATTAGAAAATGGAAGAAGTTCAAGATGACGGTCAATCACCCTCGGTCTGGGGCTCCATGCAAGATCTCACCTCATGGGGCATCAATGATCATGAGGAAGGTGAGGGATCAGCCCAGAACTACACGGCAGGACCTGGTCAATTACCTGAAGAGAGCTGGGACCACAGTCTCAAAGAAAACCATTAGTAACACACTACACCGTCATGGATTAAAATCCTGCAGCGCACGCAAGGTCCCCCTGCTCAAGCCAGCGCATGTCTAGGCCTGTCTGAAGTTTGCCAATGACCATCTGGATGTTCCAGAAGAGGAATGGGAGAAGGTCATGTGGTCTGATGAGACAAAAATATAGCTTTTTGGTCTAAACTCCACTCGCCGTGTTTGGAGGATGAAGAAGGATGAGTACAACCCCAAGAACACCATCCCAACCGTGAAGCATGGAGGTGGAAACATCATTCTTTGGGGATGCTTTTCTGCAAAGGGGATAGGACGACTGCACCGTATTGAGGGGAGGATGGATGGGGCCATGTATCGCGAGATCTTGGCCAACAACCTACTTCCCTCAGTAAGAGCATTGAAGATGGGTCGTGGCTGGGTCTTCCAGCATGACAACGACCCGAAACACACAGCCAGGGCAACTAAGGAGTGGCTCCGTAAGAAGCATCTCAAGGTCCTGGAGTGGCCTAGCCAGTCTCCAGACTTGAACCCAATAGAAAATCTTTGGAGGGAGCTGAAAGTCCGTATTGCCCAGCGACAGCCCCGAAACCTGAAGGATCTGGAGCAGGTCTGTATGGAGGAGTGGGCCAAAATCCTTGCTGCAGTGTGTGCAAACCTGGTCAAGACCTACAGGAAACGTATGATCTCTGTAATTGCAAACAAAGTTTTCTGTACCAAATATTAAGTTCTGCTTTTCTGATGTATCAAATACTTATGTCATGCAATAAAATGCAAATTAATTACTTAAAAATCATACAATGTGATTTTCTGGATTTTTGTTTTAGATTCCGTCTCTCACAGTTGAAGTGTACCTATGATCAAAATTACAGACCTCTACATGCTTTGTAAGTAGGAAAACCTACAAAATCGGCAGTGTATCAAATACTTGTTCTCCCCACTGTATGTGAAAACAGCACATTTCTGTTTTATAGGGAAACAATTTAAAGTGAAAAAGTTCTACCTGATGACATCATCTAAAGTTAAAACATGTTAAAAACAGTGATTTTTCAAACACTATGAGATTCGCGGTGACGTGGGGAGCAAGAAAATACCCTCCCTCTAGCTAGAAAGTTGTTGCAGGTTTTCAAAATCAGTTTTTCTTACTTTTAATCCTACCTTGTGATGTCAGAAAGCAGGTTTCCATCCAACCTTTACTCTCATAAAGTACGTTGGATAAAAAATATCATGACAGGCCTATCGGTAAACTTTCCAAATGATGACAAAACAAAATACACTAGACAAGGTGGGATCTTTTTGTGTCAGTAAAATGTATTATGCGAGAAATGGCGGTGGAAGCACTTTTATGTGCAAATATTGATATAATAACCATTAAATCTAACTGAACTTGGAGTCACGTGATATGTTGTGTGGTCCTCCCACTACGACTCATCAGGAAAGCATGCAGTTTATTAGGCTACAGATGAAATAAGTTATGAACTTCACAGGATGGTGAAAGTGCAAAGTGATGAGCTTGATGCTCCTTTCTATTAAATATTTTACATTTACATTTTAGTCATTTAGCAGACGCTCTTATCCAGAGTGACTTACAGTTAGTGAGTGCATACATTTTCATACTGGTCCCCCGTGGGAAACGAACCCACAACCCTGGCGTTGCAAACGCCATGCTCTACCAACTGAGCTACAGGTGACATGATCATCGATGCTTGGCTGCCTTTTGACAAATAAAAATAATATTTTGTCCATAATAATCTCATCATGTAGGCTAAACCCGCACTGTATCTGCGAACTGTTGGCTAGAGCGCACGTGCCAATACCAGAGAGGGCACACTCCATATATAACAAAAAGAAAATTGTGAGAAAACCATCAGTAGAGTTGAATGCAATGGAAACACATTTAACACATTTACTTTTTATTCGGTACATAGAAATTGAACTGCAAAAGGTATTTTTATGTGCACTATGTCATCACACAGCAGTTCCCATTGACCAGGAGACACCAAAGGAGTCTCCAGAGTTAACAAACCTTGTGTCCGAGTTTGATAACTTGTCATTTAAAATCTTAACAGTGATGTTAAGTCGGAAGTTTGTGGAGCAGGGCTTTGTAAACAAAAATAGCATAATGATGTGATCTACATGACTTCAAAGAGGTCCAGCCAATCTTTTGGTAAATAATACCGTGATGAGTAATAAAACTGTCTCCTGTGATGAAACAAATATGATGAATATGAAGTTGAAAAATTGTGAAGTTTCCCTTTAACGAGAACTAAAAGGTGTGCAACATCAAAATATTCTCCCATTTACATTGTGTAATTTATTAACGGTCCATTACTAGCCCCAGATATAGGCTATCCACCATCAAATCAATTTTGCCATGGTCGCACACCAGCCAGCTGAAGCTAATTGGCGAAAGAAGTTAGCTAGCACTAGCTAGCCTAGGCGGCCTCAAGAGAAGACCTGGTTAGGCCGTTTCAAGTTATCTAGAAGGGTGAGTGACTAACTGTGTACTGTTTTGGCAGACAATGTACAAACACTTGCCTCATGGAAACACACAGACGACACCCACATTAAACCACCCCACCAAGACAACTCTTGTTTGGCTTCAGTCATGGCCGCTGCATTTCTTAATGACCAAGCCGGAAAACGAGGCAGAATCAGGAAGTTCAGCCCCCCTTTAATTGCAAAAGTGGTTGTGGTTTTTATATGCACTACATCATCATGTAGCCTTTTATCCGCAACAAGTCAGTTTGATGGAAACATCCCTCTGGAGGGAAAATTTACATATTATTTTCATGCAGATTTTTGAATATTTGCATGAAAATCTGTCACCAATTGGATGGAAACCTAGCTACTGAGACAGAATAATCAATAGCCTTTTAAGACAAAACACTATTTTTGCTTCAACATATTTAATCTTGCTCCCTACCAAAGTGTTTCAGTAGCTTCACCATTTAATATTTTTTTGGGTTTGGTTGCGTCGTCACTTTCCTGGTCCTTTGCTTGAGGCGTTTCAACTTTACTAGCATCTGCCTCCGGAGTGCCTGAGGTTTCAGGGTCCACTGCTTCTTGGCAGCTGCAGTTTCAGTCGCCTCAGAATCCTTGGCCACAACAGTTGCAGGGACCTCAGCTGCAGTTTCTGTGTCAACCTTTGTTGTAGTGGCCTCTGTCTCCTTGGCTACATGGGTTGCTGCGGCCTCAGTCTCCGGGGCAGCGGGGGTTGCTGCGGCCTTAGTTTCGGAATCAGAGGTCTCCGGGGCAATGGGAGTTGCTGCGGCCTCTGTTTCCGCGACAACAGGGGTTGCTGCAGTATCTATCTCCACGACAACAGGGGTTGCTGCAGCCTCAGTCTCCTGGGCAATGTAGGTTGCTGCGGCCTCAGTCTCCTGGGCAATGGGAACTGCTGTGGCCTTGTTCTCCTTGGCAACAGTGGGTGCTGTGGCTCAAGCAACTGTCTCCTCAGTAACAGCCTCTACAAGGGCTTCTGACTCCGGGGCAACATCTGTTGCTATTGCCTCTGCCTCTTGGGCAACGACTGTGGGTTCAGATTCCTGGGCAACCACATTTGATGTGACCTCTGCTTCCTTGGTCTCTGACTCTACTGTAATGGCTTCTGACTCCTTGACTGCTCCTGTGGCTTCCAACTCTTGGGTGGTTGTAGTTGGAGCTGGTTCTTCTTGGGTGCAGACACCTCTGCTGTCACATCGACCTCCTTTACCTCAGGCACTGCTAGTCTCTGGAACAACATATGCTGCAGTCTCTTCTAGCACATTCTTGATGATCTCTACCTCCTGCACCAATGGGATAGCAGTCTCAGTTTCACTTCTGCCTCTGAGGGCTGGAGCTGCAACTGTCTCAGTGACAATGGGGTTAGCAGCCTCTGCCTCCTTAACTAGGGTAACTGGCTCCTCGATAATGGCAGCTGCCTCTTCAACCTTCACTGGTTCAGCTGTGGCTGCGGCCGGAGTGCTGGAGATGATGGCCTCTACGACAGGGAGGACCGCTTGGATGGTGGGGGCTGAATCCAGGGCCTGTGGTAGAGCCTCCTGCACCGCTGTGAATCCTACTGCACTCGCTGCTTCCACCTCCTTTGACACCACCCCCTTCGTGCTTACCCGCACTTTCCGCACTCCCTTCCATGTGAAGCCAGTCCATTTTGAAGACCCAGTCTTCTGAGGAATATGCAGCAGCCTGACGGGAAACATGGATTGAACATTATCTTGTGTACCGTTATCCTGTACTGTTATCTAAAGACAACTCAACCAAATAAAAGGGTTTGGAAGCTTCACTGAACAGGTCACATGTACTCACCTGCCAGGCCACACCCAGTTTACCGACATGCCCGCTGCACGAATTGCAATGTCTGAACACTTCTGGCCATAGTCAAACGCGGCCAACTTCATTCTCCTGCAGGGGGATATAGATTAGTGAAATGAACCTTCAACTCAACACACTATTGTTTTGTCAGAGCAATCCTTAGTCGAAAATATATCTAGATCATAAATATCATGTTGCACATTTGTAGACATTACCAGAATCCTTATGCCACTTCTAGAGAATGGCACTCTAGTACAAGTGGAGAATGGTGTACTCACATTCTCCCTATGGTGGCGGGCTTTATAACAAATCTGTCAACACTAGCATAAACCTGGGAAGAGAGAGACAGGATTATTCAAACAACTTTTTAGTCAAGTCAAGCTTTTCATACTCTTCCTCAAAACTAAAATATAATCACCATTGTAAAATGGTGTAAAATCACTTGAAATGAATACATTTTTACATTACAAAATGATTTTGGTTAGTACCAACTTGTTGCTCTGCTCTCCAGTGCGGTAAAGGAATGCGTTAAGGGTGGCTCCGAGGTCCAACACAGTCATCGACATATGATCAAAACAGCCGACATGTTGACTCCTGAAAACAGAATGTGCTTCCCGTTACTGGACTCACCGTGGATCTCTTACGTAGGAATGCATCTGCTTCATCTACAAAGAGCAGGACACTACAGAAGATGAGACAACATCAAAGAGAAAGAGATTAGCAATACTATTGCTTTATAAGAAAATGTCCCAAATGTATGTATTTATTATTCTTTTTGGGAGGGGGGGCTTTAAAGGGAAATTTCAAAAATATCCAACTTTATATTCATCATCTCAACCCCAACATATGTGAAAATGGTGCGTTTCTATGTTTTCAGGCGGCAGGTAGCTTAGTGGTTAAGAGCGTTGTGCCAGTAACCGAAAGGTCGCTGGTTCTAATCCCCAAGCCGACTAGGTGAAAAATCTGTCGATGTGCCCTTGAGCAAGGCACTTAACCCTAATTGCTCCTGTAAGTCGCTCTGGATAAGAGCGTCTGCTAAATGACTAAAATGTAAAAAAGATAGAGGAAGATAAGTGTTTCCAATAACATCATCAACCAATTAGTAGACAATTAGTAGGCAATGCCTACTCATAATTGGTTAAACTAACAGGTCTGTGAGAGCCGGAATTCTTACTGGTTGGTAGGTGATCAAATACTTATGTCATGCAATAAAATGCAAATTAATTACTTAAAAATCATACAATGTGATTTTCTGGATTTTTGTTTTAGATTCCGTCTCTCACAGTTGAAGTGTACCTATGATAAAAATTACAGACCTCTACATGCTTTGTAAGTAGGAAAACCTGCAAAATCGGCAGTGTATCAAATACTTGTTCTCCCCACTGTATCTTCCTCTATCTTTTTTACTACAAAACATAGAAATGCGCAATTTTAACATATGTTGATGTTGTGGTGGTACTGGAGATTATGAATATGAAGTAGAACATTTTAGACATTCCCCTTTAATATTGTAAGTCGCTCTGAATAAGAGCGTCTGCTAAATGACTAAAATGTATTGCAGATAGATTGTAGGTTCTATTAATTTAAATTGTCTACATAATTTCACACCCATAGAGCTTTACATATGGCTCTGATTTGACATTGAGTGATAGGCCGTTTTAAAAGTGACCCCAGAAAGACAGATGGAGATGGGTAAATTAGACGCACATTCGATTTTTATAAACTCAGCAAAAAAAGAAACATACCTTTTTCAGGACCCTGTCTTTCAAAGATAATTAGTAAAAATCCAAATAACTTCACAGATCTTCATTGTAAAGGGTTTAAACACTGTTTCCCATGCTTGTTCAATGAACCATAAACAATTAATGAACACGCACCTGTGGAACGGTCGTTAAGACACTAACAGCTTACAATTAAGATCACAGTTATGAAACCTTATGACACTAAAAATGCCTTTCTACTGACTCTGAAAAAGACAAAAATAAAGATGCCATGGGTCCCTGCTCATCTGCGTGAACGTGCCTAACGCATGCTGCAAGGAGACATGAGGACTGCAGATGTGGCCAGGGCAATACATTTAAATGTCTGTACTGTAAGACGCCTAAGACAGCGCTACAGGGAGACAGGACAGACAGCTGATCGTCCTCGCAATGGCAGACCACGTGTAACAACACCTGCACAGGATCGGTACATCCGAACATCACACCTGCGGGACAGGTACAGGATGGCAACAACAACTGCCCGAGTTACACCAAGAACACACAATCCCTCCATCAGTGCTCAGACTGTCCGCAATAGGCTGAGAGAGGCTGGACTGAGGGCTTGTAGGCCTGTTGTAAGGCAGGTCCTCACCAGACATCACCAGCAACAACGTCGCCTATGGGCACAAACCCACCGTCGCTGGACCAGACAGGACTGGCAAAAATTGCTCTTCACTGACGAGTTGCGGTTTTGTCTCACCAGGGGTGATGGTCGGATTCACGTTTATCGTTGAAGGAATGAGCGTTACACCGAGGCCTGTACTCTGGAGGGGGATCGATTTGGAGGTGGAGGGTCCGTCATGGTCTGGGGCGGTGTGTCACAGCATCATCGGACTGAGCTTGTTGTCATTGCCGGCAATCTCAACGCTGTGCATTACAAGGAAGACATCCTCCTCCCTCATGTGGTATCCTTCCTGCAGGATCATCCTGACATGACCCTCTAGCATGACAATGCCACCAGCCATACATGCTCGTTCTGTGCGTGATTTCCTGCAAGACAGGAATGTCAGTGTTCTGCCATTGCCAGCGAAGAGCACAGATCTCAATCCCATTGAGCACGTCTGGGACCTGTTGGATTGGAGGGTGAGGGCTAGGGCCATTCCCCCCAGAAATGTCTGGGAACTTGCAGGTGCCTTGGTGGAAGAGTGGGGTAACATGTCACAGCAAGAACTGGCAAATCTGGTGCAGTCCATGAGGATGAGATGCACTGCAGTACTTAATGCAGCGGGTGGCCACACCAGATACTGACTGTTACTTTTGATTTTGACCCCCCCTTTGTTCAGGGACACATTATTCCATTTCTGTTAGTCACATGTCTGTGGAACTTGTTCAGTTTATGTTGTTGAGTCTTGTTATGTTCATACAAATATTTACACATTTTAAGTTGGCTGAAAATAAACGCAGTTGACAGTGAGAGGACGTTTCTTTTTTTGCTGAGTTTTTACTGTAGCATAGGCTATCCTGCAGCAAATGTAGGCCTACCTGTCACAAGAAAAAAGTTCCCATGAGATGATGGGTCTACATGCATTGTGAACTGCGTTCCATACTGAGATGGTCTGTCCCCACCCTGAGCATTAATGATTCATCATGCAGAGGGCGTAGAGAAGCCAGATTTAGACATTGCATATCATTTAACCCAGCCACCTGCAGGGCATTCACCAACAGTGTGTGCCAATGACTCAGATAAGGTAAGCAACCACAATGTAAAATTCAAGCTATATCACAGGTTGAAAGGTGAAGTGTGATAGCAGATTGGTAGTAAGGGGGAGACTTTTTACAGTGCCAGTCAGTTTATCCCAGTCGGACACAAAGGCATGGAACCCTTCCCCGAACACTGCTCCTGCTGTCCTGACAGAAACAAAAACGTCATTATTACGGTGACTGCTCCCATTATGACCGTCAAACATTCACAGCATTCTTGGGTTCTTATCCAAACATAGCAGAATACTGGCTGATCAAATGAAATGTATTATATAATGAGATGAGATGTGATTAAAAACTGTAATGTATAGACCTCTTTGCAACATACTGTCTTCCACAGCCCAGTCTCAAGCTGTGAACCTGTAGAAAGTGACTGCAAGAGCAACCCGCCAGTGGGTCCCGACCCAATACTGGGACACACTGCTGTGGAGTGTAGAACCATTTTGAACCTTCCCATCTTACCTGATAGACTCCAGGACCGTCTGTCTGTGTTCTGCTGCTTCAAGGCGGATCTGTTCACGGATGAGGTCTGCGTTCTCCTGCTCTACCTGGGCACGAGCTGCAGACTCTGCCTCTACATGAAGCAATTCGTTCTCGTGTCGCCATGCCATTTCATGTTCAATAGTGGCTAGATAGGAGGGAGGGGAACTAAAGTAAGTTCACAGGTGTTTTGACTGTAAACATACTGTGAGACTGATTTACAAAGCATTTGCACCCGTTTCTGTCAGACGAGAACTACAGATATATACAGTAAACAAAGACAACATGAAACAGTCTTAATTTACTTTGAGATGTTTTTTCTTTAACAACTTGTTTCATTTTCCTTGATGAAGAACAGGTTCAAAGGCTTAGTAAACCTCCTCCTATGTGTCACAATGACATGGGGAATTTTCCTGAAACCTTTTCGCATAGCCTACTGCTTTGTGACTGATTCCTCTTGCTTGCGCAAGTTCTCCTCATTGAGGGCTTGCTGCAAATACAAAACACACGGTGAACATATGACTTAGCCATATTTCTCATTCTTGGCCTTTTTCCATCAGCATGGGTCCCACTCCAGTCTCTTTTTGTGTTTCTCCATAGCTGGGCTGAGATTCAACAGAAATCAGAGAACAGAGAGCTTACCTGTTGCCTGAGTTGATCATCATATCTCTGTCTGGCAAGTTTGTCTTGATACTGTACCCTCGAGGAAATAGAGACAGAACACACCTTAGAACAATTTGAAGCATGAGCAAACATTTAGGATGCAATACAATAAAGAAAAATCATGTAAATTATCCCCATAACAACATACTTAGCTTAACACTAGATAGACACTTGGCTGGTGAATTAAGTCAGTGGAATGTAGTTAAGGACTCTTTGGCAGCAGCTCTCAATCACTCCCATACCGCTTGATTTTGCTTGGTTTCCTCTGTAAGTGTTTTCCGCCTTTCCTCTGCCTGGAGACGAATTGGTTCCCCCTTCAGCTGCTCCAAAGCCGCTTCATATTCCTGTTGGTGAATGGGATTAAAGCATGTTTTCAGAGAGGACTAGGTAGTAGGTTTTGTATTTATTATAGGGATCCCGATTAGCTGCTGCCAAGGCTCTCTTCCTGGGGTCCAAACAGGACAGACAACCGTTTTACTTCAACCCAAATCTCATTATTCCCAGCGACAGACTGGATGAATATCTAGAAATTAGAACCCACGTGTTCCTGTTTAGAAAAGCAGATGACAGTATTGGAATGTCTAGGACAGGGAAGATCATAAGGATAACACTAGATTTTTTTCCAGAACACAAAATTATGCAACTAGATAGAAGGCAGACATTTGAAAGTGAAAAGTAAAACGCATGAGCTGACACGCATCCAAACATTTTTGTAGAGATGCTGACTGTTCCTTTGCGGAACAACATTAATTATTTAGCTTCAAGAATTATGGCAACATTTTTGCCATTCATTCACAAACCATACCACTTTTACTGTCATGAGTCGCAAGCTTTGGACATCTGTTCCTCAAAAGTTTCGCTACACCCCATGGCAAAATGTGTAGAATTGCAGGAAATTGACTCTCAAACTTCAATTTTTTTCTGTCTGCTGTCAAGAGACGCAGACCCTCAATTCACTGCGGACACTCATGATGAGTTCAGATAAAAGTTGCCCATCCCTGGTCTAGATGCAGGCCACACATGCTCTCTTGCACACATCGACGGGAATGTGATCTTGAACAAGTGGGAGGACAGACAACATCCCCATGAAGAACACTCTGTTCTTTCAATCACTGACATGCCCACCAAAGCCTGTCGCAGACAGTATGTTGATCCAGTCGACTCTAGTTCATGCCATACTTTATATAGTTGATTGATGTTAAATGTATACTTTGTTGCAGTTGTCAGTTGTTCCAAAGTTTCATTGTTCATGTTCTGCAACGATATCGCAATGGCATATTTGCATTAGATTGAAAAAAATATTTTAAAAATGTATGCACTCACTAACTGTAAGTTGCTCTGGATAAGAGCGTCTGCTAAAATGACTAAAATGTAAATGTACCTCACAACACAAAGTATGCACACCAAGAACAAGAAGCTTTTTAAAAAATCACATGACAATGTGATAATAACTGCACTAACGTAATCTGTCAAGTTCCCTCGCAGCTTTTGCAGCTCGTTCAAGCCCAGTCGGGTCGAAGTTACTCCATTTGTCCTTGGGCTTCTCTCCGAAAGATGTATCCGAACATCCCACTTCTCCTTCAGGCGTCTCTGCTTCATCTGTCGGGGGTTTGCTGGACCCCCTTCCCCAGCCGAACAGTCAGGACATTACTCAAATGGAGTCGTCTTCTTGCTCCTCGTGCTGCGGTGGCCTGACGGGTCCACTTCTTCTACCGCCACTTTCCTACACAGGATCCTATACAGTACACACCTCCACCACTATAGCTCCGTGTGTGTCGGGAAGACTCTTCCACGCAAGCGCGACTTGTGGTGGGCAGGGATGTCTAAAATACTGCATCCTTATTGGTTAGTACGACGCTATCTCCCGATCGAGAGCATCAATGTGCGGGGCTGCAACCATGTTATATTCGAAATCACTTGGACCGCCTGAGTTATTACCATTGTGCATATCACTTTTCGTATAGATTAGCGAAAGTGCGCAACTTCAAAGGGATACCCGTAAAAAGCATGAAGCATATAGAACTCATAGAGTACATAACATAACATAAACAACTATTGAAAGAAAAATAGAAATGGTACTCTCATAGGTCTATACCACTCGATGACATTGATAGGTGCATGATAGCCACCACTCCTCTCATTTCTAGAGACTAATTTCTGAACTTTGATCAGAGAAAGTAGACTAAGCCTTGCCTACACGTTCCAGTGTGTAGGCTAGACAGTAGGCATACTAGTAAAACATCTTCTTATAAGATGTAAATTGGATTACCCACATATTGCAATTTAGTCACTTTTGCTCCAGCCAAGCAGTAACACACGGGATTCTACTAATCCAACCCTTGATTGAAAACTCTGATTTGATGATGAGTACACAGAGGGTAAGATTACCCACTCCTCCCCTAAACTCTTAACAGCCTTATATTGTATAATTGTGTGTATACATCATAAAGAGAACCTAATATCCAGTGCTCTCAAATCTGATAAAGATCTAGGCTATATATGGCTTGCCATAGCTTCTTTGGATAACTTCACATACATGAACAAGCCTTTTGAACTACTTTCATCCTTGAGATAAGTGTGTTATAGAGCTCGCAAGCTTGTAGTCCTTAAAAAAATGAAATTATTTACCGCTAGTTGGTTCAGCCATTCCTATGGGCAAAATGAATGGGGAAAGAATAGGGTTTTGGAATAAACACAGAAAATAAGGTCTGAGGTTAACACAGGCTTATGACATGTTATACGTTTTGTTCTATGAGATAATATCAGTCAGTTAACATGCAATTTCAGAATCAGTGAAAATTGCATCCCTGACTTTCTAAAAGGTTCACTAGATATGGATGAAAATACCCTCATATTAAAGCTGACAGTCTGCACTTTAACCTCATAGTCGTTGTATCATTTCAAATGCAAAGTGCTGGAGTACAGAACCAAAACAACAAAAAATGTGTCACTGTCCCAATACTTTTGGAGCTCACTGTATATAACCGACCCCCGTCTAAGCAATGAGAGTTGTAAAAGAGGCTCTGACATAATAGCCTGCAGTGCGCCCATAGCTTTCAGTAAGTAGGCTACTCCCGAGTAGTGACATAAACTGACGTCATGCCTGGGGCGGGACAGCGACAAGATACATAGGCTGGAACCGGCACTGTGCTGTATCTGTTAGAATATTCAACCTGAAAACATCAGGATGTTGGTCGTGTGCACCTCTTTAGCCCGAAACGCCGTGGCATTACGGAACAATGGGGCGATGGTGGTAAGTAAAGGAGAAAGTGGTTTTTTTGTTTTTTAAAGGAGAAGAATAGTAAGAAGTAGGGGAATGGAAAGAAAAGGCCTATGACTGGGTTAGGTAGACCCCCTATCAATAGGGTTGTCGTAGACTGCCTGTCTGGCCATGCAATGTGTTTTTACTAGTTGCCAATAGGTCTATGTCTGGTTTATGGCATGGCTTCAAATAGTAGGCTGTTGTTCATATGGCTTACTAGACAGTTCTTCTGAAAATAAAACTCTCAAACATACTGTTGTGTCAATTGGAGGTTTACCTTATATCAGAGTAAAGCACAGTAGCAAAATCAAAGATAAGCTATTCTTTAATTTGAGTAACATTGTTAAAGTCTAAATCATAATATATTCAGTTATGAAATATTCATTATTTGCATAATCGATTTTGAACTAGAGCATGTTTCAGTTAGGTCAATAGGCCTATGTATATTTTGTGAAGGACTGTTGCGCAAATTGAGAACTGTTTCAGATTACAGAGATTTCTTTCATATAATCCGTTTAGTGATGTTTTGCTTTCATAATGTTGTTATTATTTATACAAAATAAAAATTTAAAAATAACGTTACTCTTAACTTAAGGTTTATTTGTCCTTATCGCATGTATTGAACCCATAATGTTAGTTATGAAACTTGAATAGTTATGAAACTTGAAATTGAGAGTGATATAACAACTCAGGGTCAGTACATATTTCCTACCGCTAGAGGGGGATGTCTACCTTGTTATGAAAGTAGAGATTTTCCTTTAGTTGTAAACCCCCATATGAATATACAGCCTTTTTGTATTTTTGACATATATATTTATATTTCAGACTGAAATCCATTTTAATTTCAGTTGCTCTATTGTGTAAATCTGGTGTAGTATACTTCACTCACCCCATGTCTTGCCTATTGATTGATATCAAAGCAAAGCCCATAAACAGCTGTATGAATCAAATTCAAATCAATGTTTATTTGTCACATGCTTAGTAGACAACAGGTGTAGACTAACAGTGAAATGCTTACAGATCCTTTTCCAACAATGCAGAGTTAAAGATAATTACAAAATAAAAACGTAAATAGTGACACAGTGAATAACGAATAAAAATAACGAGTAAGAATAACATGGCTGTATATAGGGAGTAGTATGAGATACTAAAACCAGCATTTAACACCAAAAACAGTAATGTAAGCCTAATTTAAAATTGAATTCATAAGACATTGATACATGTTGTCTATGTCTCGTCTCCAGATGGTGCGCTATGCACAGACAGCAGTCGCCCCGGCATCTGAGCCCAGAATCAAGAAGTTCCAGATCTACCGCTGGGACCCAGACACAATGGGGGACAAGCCACGCATGCAGACATACGAAATTGACCTCAACAAGTAAGTACAACGACAGTATAGGTCTTCACTTGTTTCAAACCTAGCAATGTCAGCGTATAGTCTGCATTGATGGAATTGCTCTCATTGATTAAATATCTGCATTGTTAACAAATCCTTCTCCCTACTATTACAGCTGTGGCCCCATGGTTTTGGATGCCCTCATTAAAATCAAGAATGAGATGGACCCCACGCTCACATTCAGACGCTCCTGCAGAGAGGGTAAGGCATGAAGAGCAATTTGCAGAGAGGATAGAAAAGTGGTTGTCATCATTATGGGTAGAAAGTAGAAATCATAAAATATAGACCTATAAATATAGTGCATCCTATTCTACAATGATGGAGCATCATGAAATATGAAATTAGCCTTGGTGTGGAGTTGTCCTTTTCAGTGGTGTGATATACAGTACCAGTCAAAAGTTTGGACACACCTTCTCATTCAAGGGTTTTTCTTTATTTTTACTATTTTTTACATTGTAGAATAATAGTGAAGACATCAAAACTATGAAATAACATATGGAATCATGTAGTAACTAAAAAAGTGTTAAACAAAATATATTTTAAATTTGAGATTCTTCAAATAGCCACCCTTTGCCTTGATGACAGCTTTGCACACTCTTGGCATTCTCTCAACTAGCTTCACCTGGAATGCTTTTCCAACAGTCTTGAAGGATTTCCCACATATGCTGAGCACTTGTTGTCTGCTTTTCCTTCACTCTGCCGTCCGACTCATCCCAAACCATCTCAATTGGGTTGAGGTCGGGTGATTGTGGAGGCCAGGTCATGTGATGCATCACTCTCCTTCTTGGTAAAATAGCCCTTACACAGCCTGGAGGTGTTTTGGGTCATTGTCCTGTTGAAAAACAAATGATAGTCCCACTAAGCCCAAAGCAGATGGGATGGCGTATCTCTGGAAAATGCTGTGGTAGCCATGCTGGTTAAGTGTGCCTTGAATTCTAAATAAATCACAGACAGTGTCACCAGCAAAGCACCCCCACAGCATAACACCTACTCCTCCATGGTTTTCGGTGGGAAATACACATGCAGAGATCATCCGTTCGCCCACACCGCGTCTCACAAAGACACGGCGGTTGGAACCAAAAATCTCCAATTTGGACTCATTTGGACACATTTCCACCGGTCTAATGTCCATTGCTCATGTTTCTTGGCCCAAGCAAATATCTTCTTCTTATTCGTGTCCTTTAGTAGTGGTTTCTTTGCAGCAATTCGACCATGAAGGCCTGATTCACACAGTCTCCTCTGAACAGTTGATGTTGAGATATGTCTGTTACTTGAACTCTGTGAAGCATTTATTTGGGCTGCAATTTCTGAGGCTGGTAACTCTAATGAACTTATCCTCTACAGCAGAGGTAACTCCGGGTCTTCCATTCCTGTGGCGGTCTTCATGAGAGCCAGTTTCATCATAGCGCTTGATGGTTTTTGCGACTGCACTTGAAGAAACTTTCAAAGTTCTTGAAATGTTCCGTATTGACTGACCTTCATGTCTTAAAGTAATAATGAACTGTCGATTCTCTTTGCTTATTTGAGCTGTTCTTGCCATAATATGGACTTGGTCTTTTACCAAATGTAAATAGGGCTAAGTTCTGTATACCTTGTCACAACACAACTGATTGGCTCAAACGCATTAAAAGGAAAGAAATTCCACAAATTAACTTTTAAGAAGGCACACCTGTTAATTTAAATGCATTCCAGGTGAGGACCTCACGAAGCTGGTTGAGAGAATGCCAAGCGTGTGCAAAGCTGTCATCAAGGCAAAGGGTGGCTATTTGAAGAATCTCAAATATAAAATATATTTAGTTTAACACTTTTTTGGTTACTACATGATTCCATATGTGTTATTTAATAGTTTTGATGTCTTCACTATTATTCTACAAGGTAGAAAATAGTAAAAAAATAAAGAAAAACCCTTGAATGAGTAGGTGTGTCCAAACTTTTGACTGGTACTGTACATGCATCTTGCTCTAGGTATCTGCGGCTCATGTGCCATGAACATCAACGGAGGCAACACACTGGCCTGCTTAAACAAAATAGACATCAATACCAGCAAACCGATCAAAATCTACCCACTCCCACACATGTACGTTGTCAAAGATCTGGTGCCGGTGAGTATTATGGTTACATTTAGAAGTAAATTAATACTGATTATTATAGCTGCGTTAAAATATAACAAACCTAAAAGACAAACACTGAATAAAACAATGCAATGTTTAGTCACCATGTGTTAGCCTATATTTTGTTGACTAAGGGTGTCAATGTATTGTGTGTGCCTCTACAGGACATGAGTAACTTCTATGCCCAGTACAAGTCCATCGAGCCCTTCCTGAAGAAGAAAGACGAGTCTCAGGAGGGCAAGGAGCAGTACCACCAGACTGTGGAAGACAGGCAAAAGCTGGTACATATTTCATCCCCTGACCAGTGGCAGCAGATTTCAGTAGCTATACTATCAATGCATCAAATGCAATTTGAAGTACATATACCCATTTGATTAAGATGTCAGAAAGGGACAATGTAGTATTTTGTTGGGATGAAGTGACCTAGTCAGTTGAACCAATTTACTTTGCTGCATTGAGACCTTGTATCGCCCTTGCGAAGGAAAGATATATTTACTTTTTTGAGCATTTTATACATGTGAACCACACTTTGCTATAGCTTTCTGGAGTTTCAACTTACCACTTTGTATATTCGAACAAATGTTATATTGTTAGAGCAGAAGGAGTTCTCATTACAAAATAAATCTGATCTCTAATGGTCCTCCTCTCCCAGGACGGTCTGTATGAGTGCATTCTCTGTGCCTGCTGTAGCACCAGCTGCCCTAGCTACTGGTGGAATGGAGACAAGTATCTGGGCCCTGCTGTCCTCATGCAGGTGTGTATTGGTTTTTTAGTGAATATATAAATTAAATTAAATTAAATTTGACAGGGAGAACCGATGTCTAAAAACAAAGTAAAGCCTTTTCAACAGGCATATAATTGGATGATTGATTCACCTAATGAGTCTGGCACCCCCATCCCAGAGATTAGCATTTTATGATCTTGCTGTATGTAGTAAATTAATCTGATTAATGTGTTTCCCTCCTCAACAGGCCTATCGTTGGATGATTGATTCACGTGATGAGTTCACAGAGGAACGACTGTCGAAGCTCCAGGACCCTTTCTCTCTCTACCGCTGTCACACAATCATGAACTGCACTAAGACATGCCCCAAGGTACACTCAACACCTGAATAGACTGCATCTGGTTTAGCCTTCCTTTGCTAAACCAAACCACCATTTCTAAATACAGTAATAAGACTAGTGTAGAGTTCAGCACAGTGGACTTCAGACCATTTATACAACACATGCAGCTTAAAGGTAATTATCACTGATCCCTTTCTGTCATGTTACTCATCTGGCTATCTTTATTTACCTTTATTTTGTTTGAATTCCACAGGGACTCAACCCAGGAAAGGCTATTGCTGAGATCAAGAAAATGATGGCAACATACAAAGAGAAAAAGTCATTAACCCCATGAACATCTTGGAAAACCACCTGACTTGAAATCCGCTAGTAATTACTCTAATGCTGAACTTTCAATTACACATTAGCCTTTCAACAGTGTCTGTCCCTTTCATTAGGCTTCACACATGAAAAAAGATACAGGCAGTCTAGAAGATAATGCAGCTTTTATGTATGTGAGAGTGAATGTGTGCTGGAAGAGAGGAGAGAAAGAAGAAGAAGGAGAGAGAGGGAGAAATTGAATAACTGCTCCTCCCTCTAGAAGAATTCCAAAAATACATAGATAGGTAATGTGTGATGATGTGATGATAGAGCATATTACTCAGTGTGTATAGATGAGCATTATATCCTAGCAAGTACAGATTGTACAGCAGGGGTTGGCAACAGGTACTGGCCCACAAGTATTTTAGATTTTTTTAGGATTTTAGTTTTTGGAGAAAAAAATACTAAAACCACCAGGAATTCAGCAACAAAAAAAATAATAATTTAGTTAATCTGTTCACCAAGTATTCCCACAAATAAAAAAAGACTGATCGTGTCTCAATGTAATCAAGGTATGACCACTTTATGGGATGATGTTGAGCTCTGGACCACCATTTGATGTTTGTTTGTTCATTGGATATACTGTATGTATATAAATAATACTTTAAGGAAAACCAGTTAAATGTTATTTAAATGCTTATCAATAAAGGATGTAGAATTCAAAGAGGCTTTGGGATGTCTTAATTAACCATTGTAACAGAATGATAGGTTTCATGAATGAAACTGAAATGGTTTAGTTGATTTTTAAAGGATTGTTACTTTATCTGGTTAATGGCTGTTAGAATAGTTTTTTGGCCAATGATCTACTCAGAATGAAAGTATGTTTTCAAAACTATGATTTATCATTGTCCCGTGGGGAATGGAGTTGGGAGCAGTATTAATCAGAATGCTGACCGACTTCTTAACCCTCCCGTTGTCCTAGGGTCAAAATGACCCGCCACTGTGTTGAACCAACTTTATTTAATTTTTATATTTTTGGGATCATTTGTGAGAAGGAGGCAGTGATACTTTCTTTAAAGTCTCACTGCCTCCTTCTCACAAATGATCCCAAAAATATAAAAATTAAATAAAGTTGGTTCAACACAGTGGCGTGTCATTTTGACCCTAGGACAACGGGAGGGTTAAACAAATAAATGTTATGTATGTTAGATCTCGCAACATTTGATCTCATGACTATGTGGCAACGCCCCGAAAATATCTCCCCTGTCATTTTCAGATTATATACAGTAGGCTTAATTATCAAAATAAACAAAACCAAACCCCATTGCATTCTACCCTTATTTATTTCTTAACTTCTGTGTTGTTGAATAAACTATTTCTGTTTTATTATTGTCAAACTTTTCATGGGCTTCCGTTGAAATGCGTTTGGGTGTCACATGACGGGATGGAGAGGCAAAACTGAAGATAACGGTTAGCTCTCTAGTATCGGTTACTTGTTGTGCTGGTCAAAGACCTCATTTACTAATTATGGTATCAATTACAAAATTATCGTGATTAAAGGAAGGATGGACACGCTTGGTGAGTTTTGCATTATGGCAGTAACGCCCCCCTTTTCCAATCCTGCTTTGGGGAATGAACATTGTAGCTAACGTTAATGTAGGTAGCTAGCTTGCGGATTAAACTCAACGATTTATGTTGGAGTTGAGCGGCACCTAGCGTGGGCGGACTGAAGTGCAGACGTCACATAAAATTCAGTTTTAATCATTAACTACAGATTTCAGCACCTAAAGAATAGCCCGTAATTACACAGGACATTGCTCTGTGTAATTGCGGGCTATTCTCTGGGTGCTGAAATCAGACGTTTTTGATAAAAACTGAATTTTATGTGACGTCAGAGCTCAGCCCACACTAGTCGTCACTCCAACATAAATCGTTGAGTTGAGTCGGCTAGTAGCTAGCAAGCTCTTGCATTTCTGGCTCCAGCAAATATCTTCTCATGCTATAGACCAGGGCCCGTATCCTTAAAGATTATGAGAATCCTCTCAGAGAGCTCCTAACTTAACCTAAAAATTCCTTGCCAGGAGTTTTAGCTTAGAAGTGATTCCAGAACATTTTCAGTGAACTCTGAGCCAGGAATGGATGAAAAATCCTATCTTAGTGAGGAGGTGTGGTTGACCCCGTTGCTAGGTATGAGTCATCATTTCAAAAGCCGTGATTGGTTGATCCTACAAGTTTGATGAAAATGAACTTTTGGTGATAATGAGCAAAGGATGTACCCTCAAATCAATAAACATAATTATACACTCTAATCTTATGCAGACTATAATTGTAAATAATATTTCACATTCAAGAAAATATCTGGAAAATGAATAGTAAGCTGTAGGGGTTATAGCCTAACATTAGAATCTAAAATATGTGAAAACTTAAGCTCATTACACCCTGTTCAAATAATGATTTGTGTCTCATTTGCTCATATTAATATCCTAGCTGGCATATTTTGTACTTTCACTTCCATATGGACCCCATTGAAAACAAGATGGCCTATCTCAAGGGGCTGTCCTTAATGAAGTAGAAATTGCAACGTTACAACTCAGTGTGAACTTAACGAGGGTAACACAGCTCAGCTTTTAACAATGTCTGTGATTGCTGGCTGGTCTATTTATGAAGGCTTGTTAACAAATATCCTACAAACACAGAAAATGGAGAAAAAAAGGAATCGCAAGCCGAACTGGACTGAGGAGCAAGGTTTGTTGCTGGCCCAGTTGGTGAACGAACATAAAGGTATGTTACGAGGAAAATTTGGCCCAACTGTCACTAGCCAAGGCAAGAGGCGCGCCTGGGACACAATATCCCAAACAATCAATGCCTCTTTTCCACTGGTGGTGCGGACAGGCGACGATTGTGAGAAAAGGTGGTATGTGCTGCAGTCCAAGGCAAAAGATGAGATTGCAGCACACAATTGATGTGTTTGAACAACAAAAAAAAGTCCTTTCCCTTCAGGAGGAGTACTACCGCCTTAAAATTGAACACCTAAAAAATAAACCATTTAGAGATTGTGTTCTGTGTCTTGCATTTAACAGTTGCAGGTGATGTGCAGTAAAACTGTGGTAGTTCTTAATACCATCACAAGTTCTCAAATGACATGGGGCTACAGCTTGCCTGAAATGTAAATTTGTGAAGTTTGCCCTGTAAGGCAGTCCACTCTGGGCTAGGTTCCCCTGTGGAATGTGAATATCTTCTTCACCACCATCCTCATCGTTTTCTCCATCCTCATCCTCATCGCCATCCTCCAGAGGTTCTGCAATCTGTCTAACCTTGCAAATATTGTGTAATATTGCACAGGCTATGATGAGTTTGCTGACTTTTTCAGGCCTCAGCCGCACCTCTCCGTGGAGAACATGAAAGCGCCTCTTAAGCTGGCCTATGCCACGCTCCACCACCGCTCTTGTTGTCTTGTGGGCCCTACAATAGAATACAGACCTTTAATTATTTGATGGAAATATTGCACTACTTGGATGCTCTAACATATTGCTTGCATTTCATTTCCATGATTTTTGTATTGTTTGGCTTACCTGTTATAGTTTAGTTGGGGCCCTTGGCGTGGCTGGAGGTAAGGTGTAAGGAGCCATGGTTTGCATGGGTAGCCACTGTCCCCTAACAAGTGGCAATTAGCTGGCACATAGCGTCTCTCAAAAAGCTGTCTGATGCCACTCTCGGAGAGCATTCTCGCATCATGTGTGGAGCCTGGCCATTTAGCCACAATGTCCAAAATCTTCCAGGCCGCATTGAACACTATTTGCACATTGATGCTGTGGAAATTCTTCCTGTTAACAAAGACAGCCTCGTCCTCTGATGGCGCAATTATTCTCACATGTGTTCCATCAATTACACCCACAACGCCAGGGAATCCTGCAATGTCCATAAATGCCCTTTTATGTGTGTGTAAAGTGCGGGCATCCAGCGGGAATGAAACAAATTGTGTCACAATATTAGGTTGTGACAAAGCTGTCAGTGTTTGGGTGATGACTCTGCTGACGGAGGATTGGGACAGACCCAAGTCATCACTGCTGCATTGTTGCATTTTCCCTGTTGCCAAATACCTCAGGGTTGTGATTACTTTCTTCTCCGGTGTAATAGCGTTTGTGGCGTCGAGTTGGTGAAGTAATTGCATCTCTAAGGAGATCCACCACAAACATGATTCCTGCACGATCCAATCTGTAGCGTCTCAATAATTCCCTGTCATCCAGTGTTTGCAGGACATCTCTCCTGCCTCCTCTGTTGGCCATTTTGTGCAGCTGCTTAGGGTAACTCCTAAGCCACTAAAAGTCCTCTTCCCTGCTCTTAGCAGATCTCGCCTTAGGAGCCCTTTTAAGCGCTAGGACTCTTGAGGAATAGCTTTTATATATTTTCGTGTCACTTTTAGGGGAAATTCTAAGAAAACGTCATGCCTCTGAGAATTTTCTTAGAATTTGGCCGCTAGGAGCCACTTTTTGCACAAAAATTCTTTAGAGATACGGGCCCAGGGTTCTTCAATTCCGGTCCTGGAGGGCCGAAACACCTCTGTTTTTCATCCTCTCCTTCTAATCAGGGGCTAATTCAGACCTGGGACACCAGGACCGGAATTGAAGAACCCTGCTATAGACTCTGTGAGATATACTAGATGAGACAGGATGTGGACTGGTGTCAGAAAGGATGGTGCGTTACCGCCACCAACAGCACAGGTGGTGAAATTACATTTAGAATTAGAAGCTAGGTACTAGCTAGATAGTGTGTGCTAGCTAGCTAAAGTAGTGACATTTGCTAGCTAGCTAGTGACGTCTGCTAGCTAGCTAGTGACGTCTGCTAGCTAGTGGCGTTTACTAGCTAGCGTGTACTAACTAGCCTAGCTGGTGTGTACTAGCTAGCTGCAAAAGCAACAGTGGTTAACATAACGCCCTGGACCAGAGCTAGTGCACTGACTAGAGCTAGTGCCTAGCACACTGACACCACAGAGTTTCTAAACCTAGAGGCACAACATCACGATACTTCCGGGAACGCTTGCGAAACCGACCAGTCCGGCGTTTGGGGTTTGATAAGTCAATGAGAGAAGTGAAAAAATCTTCCTTAGCTGTTAATTTTCTCGAAATCTAAAGGGACAACCAAAATTCGAGCCAATGTCTTAAGTAGTTGAACATAGTATCACTCCAACCTTGTGAAAGTGAAAAACTGACACATTTACATTTTCATCAAAAACAACTTTATATCGAAAGAGTTCCTTTGATTTGACAGCCTGCACATGAGCAGTTCGGTGCGAGACGACCGTTGGACCAGATTATGTGTTTCTATCCATGAGCTTAGCTAGCCAACATCGCCATGACATCGCCTACAAGTGTGATTGGGTGGTCCTCTGTGGCTCAATGTGGTCCTCTGTAGCTCAATTGGTAGAGCATGGCGCTTGTAACGCCAGGGTAGTGGGTTCGATCCCCGGGACCACCCATACGTAAAAATGTATGCACACATGCCTGTAAGTCGCTTTGGATAAAAGCGTCTGCTAAATGGCATATTATTATTATTATTATTATTATTATTATTATTATTATTATTAAGCAGTTTTAGCCTATCTATATCTTCATACTGTACTGTCTTTGCTGACACCCTGGAACAAAGTTACTGATTCACGCGATACATGAGACCGACAAACATCTAGAGGTTGCACACGTACATACCATTTGAGATGCAAAAATACCATCTGAAATGCACGCGCGTGCGCTTTGAGGTTCACAGACCACACGGCGTCGGCACCCATAATCTGCAGCTGGATGCTTCTCTGCAGTATTTGTATTGGAAAACACTGGTGTTTAGCTACAAACTAATCCAACATTTTGCTTTTGGGAAACGTGCAAAGTCAGCGTTAACCAGTTGTAGCAACAGTAGCTGAACCGTTTATTGTGAACGACAACACAGTTGTAGCTCGCTAGCTGACACTACAGCAGGCTGTTTACCTCTGTGTTGTCTAGCTATGGGAGTTGCCTGCTTAAAACCCTTTCTGACAGCTCACCTGTCAAGACACTATCAGTTTTATAATAAATAATTAATTATTTATGAATAGGGGTTTGGCTCAACAAAATGGAGTTATTAGGATTTTTTTAAGCTGCAAGCACAACTAAATATTTCCCTCATAATGAAATGATCATGGGACCGGAGAATGGCCACAGCTGGCTGCCGTTTTACGGGCTCCTAACCAATTGTGCTATTGTGTGTGTTTTTTCGCGCTATTTGTAACTCATTTTGTACATAATGTTTCTGCCACCGTGTCTTATGACCAAAAAGAGCTTCTGGATATCAGGACACCCGACAAGGGCCAAATTCCCGTCATTTGCATGAGAAAGAGACAGAGATATCGGGGACGTAGGTTGGGGTGCCTTGTTAGGATCCGACGGCGAGTGCGTAATCTGCCTCTACCGTCAGTCCTACTAGCCAATGTACAATAATTAGATGTCAAAATAGATGAACTAAGATCATGGATATCCTACCAACGGGACAAACTGTAATATCTTATGTTTCACCGAGTCGTGGCTGAACGACGACATGGATAACATACAGCTGGCGGGATATAAGCTGCATCGGCAAGATAGAACAGCTGCCTCCGGTAAGACAAGGGGTGGCGGTCTGTGTATATTTTAAACAACAGCTGGTGCACAAAATCTAATATTAAGGAAGTCTCGAGGTTTTGCTCGCCTGAGGTAGAGTATCTTATGATAAGCTGTAGACCACACTATTTACCAAGAGAGTTTTCATCTATATTTTTCTATTTACCACTACAAACTGATGCTGGCACTAAGACCGCACTCAATGAGCTATATAAGGCCATAAGCAAACAGGAAGAAAAACTCTAGACCACCTTTACTCCACACACAGAGACGCATACAAAGCTCTCCATCGCCCTCAATTTGGCAAATCTGACCATAACTCAACCCTCCAGATTCCTGCTTACAAGCAAAAACTAAAGCAGGAAACACCAGTGACTCGGTCAATAAAGAAGTGGTCAGATGATGCAGATGCTAAGCTACAGAACTGTTTTGCTAGCACAGACTGGAATATGTTCCGGGATTCTTCCGATGGCATTGAGGAGTACACCACATCAGTCACTGGCTTCATCAATAAGTGCATCGATGACGTCGTCCCCACAGTGACTGTACGTACATACCCCAACCAGAAGCCATGGATTACAGGCAACATCCGCACTGAGCTAAAGGGTAGAGCTTCCGCTTTCAAGGAGCGGGACTCTAACCCGGACGCTTATAAGAAATCCCGCTATGCCCTCCGACGAACCATCAAACAGACAAAGCATCAATACAGGAATAAGATTGAATCGTACTACACCGGCTCTGAAGCTCGACGGATGTGGCAGGGCTTGCAAACTATTACAGACTACAAAGGGAACCCCAGCCGCGAGCTGCCCAGTGACACGAGCCTACCAGATGACCTAAATTACTTCTATGCTCGCTTCGAGGCAAGCAACACTGAAGCATGCTCTCCATAGCCGATGTGAGTAAGACCTTTAAACAGGTCAACATTCACAAGGCTGCAGGGCCAGACGGATTACCAGGACATGTACTCTGAGCATGCGCTGACCAACTGGCAAGTGTCTTCACTGACATTTTCAACCTGTCCCTGACTGAGTCTGTAATACCAACATGTTTCAAGCAGACCACCATAGTCCCTGTGCCCAAGAACACTAAGGTAACCTGCCTAAATGACTACCGACCCGTAGCACTCACGTCTGTAGCCATGAAGTGCTTTGAAAGGCTGGTCATGGCTCACATCAACACCATTATCACAGAAACCCTAGACCCATTCCAATTTGCATACCGCCCCAACAGATCCACATTTGCAATCTCTATTGCACTCCACACTGCCCTTTCCCACCTGGACAAAAGGAACACCTACGTCAGAATGCTATTCATTGACTATAGCTCAGCGTTCAACACCATAGTGCCCTCAAAGCTCATCACTAAGCTAAGGTCCCTGGGACTAAACACCTCCCTCTGCAACTGGATCCTGGACTTCCTGACAGGCCGCCCCCAGGTGGTAAGGGTAGGTAACAACACATCTGCCACACTGATCCTCAACACAGGGGCCCCTCAAGGGTGCTTGCTCAGTCCCCTCCTGTACTCCCTGTTCAACCATGACTGCATGGCCAGGCACGACTCCAACATCATCATTAAGTTTGCCAACAACGATGAGACAGCCTATAGGGAGGAGGTCAGAGACCTGACCGTGTAGTGCCAGGATAACAACCTCTCGCTCAATGTGATCAAGACAAAGGAGATGATTGTGGACTACAGGAAAAAGAAGAGGACAGAGCACGCCCCCATTCTCATCGACAGGGCTGTAGTGGAGCAGGTTGAGAGCTTCACCAACAAACTATCATGGTCCAAACACACCAAGACAGTCGTGAAGAGGGCATGACAAAGCCTATTCCCCCTCAGGAGACTGAAAAGATTTGGCATGGGTCCTCAGATCCTCAAAAAGTTATACAGCTGCACCATCGAGAGCATCCTGACTGGTTGCAATACTGCCTGGTACGGCAACTGCTCGGGCCTCCGACCGCAAGGCACTGCAGAGGGTAGTGCGTACGGCCCAGTACATCACTGGGGCCAAGCTTCCTGCCATTCAGGACCTCTATACCAGGCGGTGTCAGAGGAATGCCCTACAAATTGTCAAAGACTCTAGCCACCCTAGTCATATACTGTTCTCTCTGCTACCGCACGGCAAGCGGTACCGGAGCGCCAAGTCTAGGTCCAAAAGGCTTCTTAACAGCTTCTACCCCCAAGCCATAAGACTCCTGAACATCAAATCAAATGGCTACCCGGACTATTTGCATTATCCCCCCCACACACCCTCTTTTACGCTGCTGCTACTCTCTGTTTATTAGCTATGCATTGTCACTTTAACTCTACCTACATGTACATATTACCTCAATTACATCGACTAACCTGTGCCCTCGCACATTGACTCTGTACCGGTACCCCCTGTATATAGCCTCGCTACTGTTATTTTACTGCTGCTATTTAATTATTTTTTTATTTATCTTTTTTTTACTTAACACTTATTTTTCTTAAAACAGCATTGTTGGTTAAGGGCTTGTAAGTAAGCATTCCACTGTAAGGTCTACACATTTTGTATTCAGCGCATGTGACAAATAACATTTAATTTGATTTTGATTTGACATGGTTACAACAGCACAAGCTGAAGTTGCTAACATGTGACAACTCCAGCCATGCCTCTCCAGTAAGGGTTGAATCATGATCTAGTCCTGATTCCTTGATCCCTCCCAGTGTAGCGATTGTGGGAACAGCCTGTGCCATTTAGCCTAAGCCTGGGCCTCTTGGCAGAGGTAGTAGCACGCTCACATGCAGGGAAGCTACTGACTAACACTTTGCTGTGTCTCTGTGTGGCAATCAATATTTGTTTGCTTTTGAACTAAGGCACATGCACAAGACGAAAGTACATGCACGCGATGCATAATAACCATAGTCTTGCAGGTGTTCACATAATTTTGCGCAGGTGATCGAAATTTCAACGGCAGTACCGGCGCTCTAAAAAGTTGGGTAAATAATACTTAATAATACCTGTGGATATTTTGTCTAAAATTTCTGCACATAGAGTAAGTTCAAATGTAATTTTATTCAATATTCTGGCTGTAAGGAAACAAGAATTGGTGTCACGGTCTGATTTATTAGGCAACTGATCTGCATGCTTTGCCTAAAGGAAAAGTGGACTGGACTGCCTTTTTCATGATCTCCAACGAGAGAAGCGGCTTTGGGTCAACCCCTAAAGGCAAGGCGTTGCACAGATGTGCAGATCATTAGGCTAATGAGTACTCTAGGGTATTTGTTTGGAATGCAAGGTGATAGATCAGTGAGCACTTTGCTCAAGCCGATCGAATGTACAGATGAGGCATAACTGAGGCACAGCTTACCCTCCCCCAATCCTAGTCTTATAACCATTTTCCCCAGTGAATGTAAGTTCCAAATGTCCTGACTCTCAGCTGACATTGCAAGGCCACTTGTCAGCAGGTCCAACTCCCCCACATACAGGTCTGGGAAGAATGTGTAGGGCAGGGATCATCAACTATATTGAACAAAAATATAAACGCAACATGTAAAGTGTTGGTCCCATGTTTCATGAGTTGAAATAAAAGATCACAGAAATGTTCCATATGCACAAAATGCTTATTTCTCTAAAGTTTTGTGCACAAATTAGTTTACATCCCTGTTAGTGAGCATTTCTCCTTTGCCAAGATACTCCATACACCTGACAGGTGTGGCATACCAAAAAGCTGATTAAACAGCATGATCATTACACAGGTGCACCTTGTGCTGGGGACAATAAAAGGTCACTCTAAAATGTGCAGATTTGTCACACAACACAATGCCACAGATGTCTCAACCTCCAGTTGCGTACCCCCTCTAGCACCAGGGTCAGCGCACTCTCAAATGTAGTTTTTTGCCATCATCGTAAGCCTGCCACAAACACATTATACGATACATTTATTAAACATAAGAATGAGTGTGAGTTTTTGTCACAACCCAGCTCGTGGGAAGTGACAAAGAGCTCTTATAGGACCAGGGCACAAATAATAATATAATAATAATAATCATCATCATCATCATCATCAATAATTTTGCTCTTTATTTAGCCATCTTACATATAAAACCTTATGTGTTCAACAAAACTTGTGAATAACTTACCACAGGTTAATGAGAAGGGTGTGCTTGAAAGGATGCACATAATTCTGCAATGTTGGGTTGTATTGGAGAGAGTCTCAGTCTTAAATCATTTCCCACACACAGTCTGTGCCTGTATTTAGTTTTCATGCTAGCGAGGGCCGAGAATCCAGTCTCACATAGGTACGTGGTTGCAAAGGGCATCAGTGTCTTAACAGTGCGATTTGCCAAGGCAGAATACTCTGAGCGCAGCCCTATCCAGAAATCTGGCAGTGGCTTCTGATTAAATTCAATTTTCACAGAACCGCTTGTTGCAATTTCGATGAGGCTCTCTGGTTCAGATATCGGTAAGTGGACTGGAGGCAGGGCATGAAAGGGATAACGAATCTAGTTGTTTGTGTCGTCCGTTTCGGGAAAGTACCTGCGTAATTGCGCACCAAGCTCACTCAGGTGCTTCGCTATATCACATTTGACATTGTCCGTAAGCTTGAGTTAATTTGCGCACAAAAAATAATACAATGATGGAAAGACCTGTGTGTTGTCCTTGTTAATGCAGACAGAGAAGAGCTCCAACTTCTTAATCATAGCCTCAATTTTGTCCCACACATTGAATACAGTTACGGAGAGTGCCTGTAATCCTAGATTCAGATCATTCAGGCGAGAAAAAACATCACCCAAATAGGCCAGTCGTGTGAGAAACTTGTCATCATGCAAGCGGTCAGACAAGTGAAAATTATGGTCAGTAAAGAAAACTTTAAGCTTGTCTCTCAATTCAAAAAAACGTGTCAATACTTTGCCCCTTGATAACCAGCACACTTCTGTATGTTGTAAAAGCGTAACATGGTCACTGCCTATGTCATTGCGTAATGCAGAAAATACACAAGAGTTCAGGGGCCTTGCTTTAACAAAGTAAACGGTTTTCACTGTAGTGTCCAAAACATCTTTCAAGCTGTCTGGCATTCCCTTGGCAGCAAGAGCCTCTCTGTGGATGCTGCAGTGTACCCAAGTGGCGTCGGGAGCAACTGCTTGCACGTGCGTTACCACTCCACTATGTCTCCATGTCATGGCTTTTGCGCCATCAGTACAGATACCAACACATCTTGACCACCAAAGTCCATTTGATGTCACAAAGCACAAACTGTCAGAAACCGTCTCAGGAAAGCTCATCTGCGTGCTCGTCGTCCTCACCAGGGTCTTGACCTGACTGCAGTTCGGTGTCATAAGCAACTTCAGTGGTCAAATTCTCACCTTCGATGGCCACTGGCAGACTGGAGAAGTGCGTTCTTCACGGATGAATCCTGGTTTGAACTGTACCAGGCAGATGGCAGTATGGCGTCGTGTGGGCGAGCGGTTTGCTGATGTCAACGTTGTGAACATGGTGGGGTTATGGTATGGGCAGGCATAAGCTACGGACAACGAACACAATTGCATTTTATTGATGGTAATTTGAATGCACAGAGATACTGTGATGAGATCCTGAGGCCCATTGTCATGCCATTCATCCGCCGCCATCACCTCATGTTTTGCAAAGATCTGTACACAATTCCTGGAAGCTGAGTGTTCCAGTTCCCACCAATATCCAGCAACTTCGCACAACTATTGAAGAGGAGTGGGACAACATTCCACAGGCCACAATCAGCCGCCTGATCAACTCTATGCGAAGGAGATGTGTCGCGCTGCATGAGGCAAATGGTGGTCACACCAGATATTGACAGGTTTTCTGATCCATGCCCCTAGCTTTAAAAAAATAAAAAGGAAATGTGACCAATAGATGCATATCTGTATTCCTAGTTATGTGAAATCCATAGATTAAGGCCTAATTAATTTATTTCAATTGACTGATATCCTTATATAACTGTAACTCAGTAAAATCTTTAAAATTGTTGCATGTTGCGTTTTTTATATATTTTTTCTTAAGCAGATGGTCGGGGTGCCGGAACATAATTAAAAAATAATTTGTAGACTGCAAATTGACCGCAAGAATCCCAATCAGATAAAATATTTGACTACAGCATAATCATTTCAAACCTTGCTTATACAATCATGTCTCTCTGTTATGCATGGGAATACTTGGGAACAGATTTCCATAATTAAAATCACTTGGAGCAGATTTCCAGGTGTTTTTAAAGTATGTTATGTCCAACAATGAAAATTCAACAACGACAAAAACTTGGGGGGGCCAAATAAAACCACCCTTGGCAGTTGGGGAACCCTGGTGTCCGGCCTAGTCTTATGCAACAGCAAGGAGCATTTTTTTCTCTTGCCCTGGATTTACGAGTTCCTGGGTGTGGGAGATGGGCATGATGTCCGATTAACATTTGCTGAGGGCTTTCCAAACGGAGGAATGACTGGTTTTGCCTCTCAGTACTAGTAGGTCTCGTGAGCTCAGATTTCTGCCCTGTGCTGTCACTTTTAGCACTGTCATTTCCTGTGTCTTCAACTGGAAATGAACATGTTAGGTTTTACTGAAGAAGTGGAACTTAGGGGCATTCATTATGAGCTACTTATGAGGCTAAGGTATATTTTTAGTGTGAACATTTTATTCAAGAGAAGATAAGCAAAGGTAAGATAAAATATAAATAAACAACACAATCAAACTTTTAATTTGTTCACTCAATGGTGTGGAGGAAGAGGATTATGTTAACATTGACCTAGATGACACACACTATAATAAACTTACCAGAATAGTCTAGTTCATCTTTGCGTTAGCCCTGAAACTAGGCAGCATGATCCAGATGTTTAGGATTCTTGTGCTATGTCAATTGAATAGTTACTTGAAGCCAGGAGAACCCTAGTTTAGGCTAGGAACCTCCCTCCTACACAGCAGTTAACTGACTACAGTAGTACTTATACTCTTCACTCCCTGTTTAGCATAAATACTACACTCACAAAAAAACAAAAACCATTATAATAATTATTACTACCATACTCCACTATTTAAATCTATTTATTCCTACTTCAGGCCAACAGCCTGAAGGGATGGGACACCACCACTTAACACACCCTGTAACTCTTCTGATGTCAAGTCTTGCACACCCAAATACCTCTGCAGCTGCCACCACAACCTCTATTTTCTGCGACTTATGTTCCACCCCTGCAGTACAGTTGATAACAATTGCTATAAATGCCAAAAATCCAATCTTACTGAAACATATATCACTTGTTAGTTTATCCCTCTGTACTGGTACATCTCTACTACTCACACCATTCCTCTCAGGATCCCTCCCCCTTGACCCATCTTCCTCTACTTTCTTCACTGCCTCAGCATATGACAACTTCTGCACTACTCTAACCCTGGAAACCTCAACCTGCCTCTCTCGCACCGGACATTTCGGATCCCCAGCCCCATGGGCTCCCCTACAATTAACACATACAACTACTTTCCCCAATGCTACACATTCCTTTGTCTCGTGCCCTTCTGCACACTTCTCACACCTAGGAACCTCCCTTCTACACACTGCTGCCACATGCCCATACGCTTGACACCTGTAACAACGTAATGTATTCGGCACAAAAGCTCGTACCGGATAACTTATATATCCTAACATCACTTTGTCGGGCAAAACTCAAAAGAACAGACTATGACTCTTCTGTTTCTCCACTCACGCCACCCTGTCTGCGTTGCACCAAACGACGAGCATCACAAACACCGGGAATCTTCCCCTTCAGTTGGTCAGCTTTCACATTTACCGCTACCCCAGTAATCACGCCTTTCAATGGCACCCTTTTCTTGAGAGCAAAACAGTTCACATTTCTTTCCCCCATTCGTTTAACATGGAGCGCCTGCTCCCTCTGACCAGCAGAAACACAAACAATTATCACTAGACCACTTCTGGTTACCCTCACCGATTTCACAGCACCCAACTCTGTTTTCACCCATCCTGAAACCACAAATTGATCAGCCAAAAGGCAAGGGTCCACTTTTTCCAAAAACTTCACTCCTACTGTCACAGACTCATCTTTATACTGACCCTCGGTACAAACCTCACTCTGTTTACACTTTCTACCATTCTTCATTAACAAACCATCTCCCCTTTTCCCACCATTTTTAACTGAATCAAGTTCACCCTCTTCCTCCCTCTCTCTCTTAGACCTCCTCTGCCTCTCTTTTTACCTCCATTCGTCCTCCGTATTCCAAGTATAACTCTCCTTATGATAGTACTGCACTTCTCCTGACAGACATCTAGTTCTTGCCTTGTCTAGGGACCACATTTCTCCTCCTACTCTTCCAATTTCCCCAACGTCCAATAGGATACATTGTATTGATTTCTTCATTATGTAGACCCTCAAACACTGAAGTCAGACATGTTTGTTTTCATGTGACGCACATCAATATGGCCCAATCAATCCATCGTCCAACAGGATACATTTGTAAGAATGTTTTTATTATAACTTTAGCCTAAACAATGCATGCATTTATTATGACTGCTTATTCACATATGTACAGCATGTCCAATTAATTGCAAGTTTAATGCATTGGTACAATTTAGATTAGGCTAGGAAAACATTCAACATTCTTTGGTTTGTATTTCAAATGAACAAGGGAAATACAGTATGTGTAGGCCTACATGTTATTATTAGTGGGTAGGCCATTATGAATGGTAGCGGAACTAGAGAAGCGGAACTGGACAGACAAGCATTGCTACGTAGACAGGTAAACACAGGTGCGCCTTTTGACACGCGACGCAAAATAGCATTGTCAACCACTCTAATCACAGTTTCGGAAATACTTATGACCAGATAATAAAGGTAAGTACTACTTTTGTTGATATTTCAAATAAATAGAAAGCCAACATCTGTGATGATATTTATATCGTAACTAAAACAGGTTACTAATACGTGTGTATACCCGGAAGCCAAAATAGCTTCAACGTTACCAAAATGTTTGTTAATAAATTATTTATTTTGATAGGTTATTCGAGTCGATAAAATTAGTTTTATCTCACCTCGACCGCACTTATGGTGATCTATTCAGAAGGGTCTCGGTTTCATCGTTTATTGGTCGTAGCTGCTAAAGTGAGAGAGAGGGGTTGTCTTTCCAAGGGAATAATATATATGTTGTCGGATTACTTTTTTATGGTGTATAAACTGGTAATGATAATATCTAGGCTAGTGTTGGCTTATCAAATATCATATTTTCGCGGTGTATGGACCTTAACATTGTGCAGGCAAGCAGTTAGCCTATAATTAGTGAAATATATATACTGCTACTTTAACTGTATAGTTTATTAACCGAATATTTGTCCCAAAAAAATGTCAAATGTTCTATAACCTGAATAAGTATTTTAACCCCTTGGTCTTCCTTGTTTTATTACAGAAGCTTTATCTTGGAAAATGGATGAGAGATTGTTAACTTGTAGAACCAAAGAGAGAAACACTACTGAATTTGAAACTAGGCATGGAACACCCTCATATTTATTTCAGTATCTAGGCCACATCAATCATATGCCCACCCGGGTCAATTAATGTGTAAATGAATGATTACACGATATATGAGGATTTTTCTATTAATTAATTAAATTTACATTCACTTACTTGAGCCGATTGAATAAAAAATGGAATGGACCCCAACACTGATTCCCAATTGGTTCATTCATTCATACTGCTTAGTGTAATACATTTGCCTTTTTTTCATGTGAGCTGTGTGTGCCATCGGTGACTTTTACAGCTAATGTGTGCCCTGTTAATGTTAACATAATGGGTGTGTACATGCAGCGCAGTGTTATGTTGTGTTTGCAGTGGCATCACTGTGTTGACTGTGTCTGTTGACTAACCTCAAGCCTGTTCCACAGGGAGTCCGGCAGAGGAGGAGCCACCGGGAGGGCTCTGCTCCCCTAGTCCAAAGAGCGAACCCCACCGCAAACCTGAAACACACATGGTAGGAGCCTTTAGCTCATCAATTAAACAGCAGTTAACTGACTACAGTAGTACCTATATTCTTCGCTCCCTGTTTAGCATAAAGCTACTAGTACAACCCACACCAATAAATCAGACTATTTTTTTTATATTTCATTTGGTGCTGCAAGCTGAACAATGGGTTCCATTTCAACTTGTCTGCCATGCAAAATGACACCTGGAAATCATCAATGTACTGCTTTTGAATGAATGATATCTACTCCGATTGCTCTCTCTGTCGGTGTGTCAGGATGTCCAGGGGTTCAGATGGGTGCGCTGGCGTGTCTGGCTGTGTCACATTGGGTCCGTGTTGTCTCTGGGTCTGCTGCTGGTGCTGTTTCGCTGGCGCCCTCGTCTAGGGGTCCTCGCTCGCTGCAACTCCTGTCCACTGGCCTACGCCAATATTCTGCTTCTGAGGGTAATGTCATTATCATAATTCATGATTCAGTGTTTTTGGGTAGTTTGAGAAGCAGCACTTGGGTTAATGGTTTTGTTCTTGATCTTCTCTCAGGACAGTTTCGGCCAGCAGTATGTCGTGGAGGTCCTCACAGAAGAGCTGGAGGAGGGCAGGTTAGATACACGTCTTTATCATCAGACCATCAACAACTGGCCTAACCAGCTAACTGTTGTATGTTGACATAAAATATTTCCCATATTATTAGCCATAATAGAATTGCTCTGTCAATGCTACCATAAAAAAAAGACTGTCATTTTCAAATGTTCAGTGTTTGGATATTGGCCAGCTGGAAGGCACTGACTCCTGTACAGTTATGTAGTTGAATCTGTTGCTCAGTAACAACTCAAGTTGGTCGTCCTGACTTCTGATGTATTGTTTCTCCTTGTGCTCTCTGTAGTTTGGAGCCGGCAGGGAGTGAGGCGGAGGACAGTTCAGACTGGAGAGATACTGTTCAGCTACACAAAGAGGAGGTAAGGAAGGAAGGGGTAGTAAAGTTGTATGAATAAAGTTGAATTTAATTACGTTTTATTGAAGGGGCAGTGACAGAGGCAAGGGCTAGAGAAGTCTGCAGCTTTTATGCATCCTGAATTACTTTCAGGTGCCGCTGCTGCGTTACTACCTGTTTGAGGGGCTGCGCTACGTATGGATGGCCAGGAAGGGAGCCTTCTGTCGTGTTAGGTACTGTATGGGGGTGATAACATAGAGGTGTGGGCTATCGGGTTGGACTGGAGTCAGTGGCATTGATACATATAAAATAAACATGTAAATGTACATTTTACAACATAAAATGTTGATGTAACGACAGTTGCCTCTTCCTCCACAGTGTCCTCAATGAGGACTGGACATGTGCCGACCTTTATCATTTCCGGGAGGGCCTGAGTCGCCTGGAGCAGGACACCAGGTACATATGATGGGATCACATACCCTTTCCTCAAGGGTCCGCTCTCGGACCTAGCTCTTTTTTAAGGCTTACCTCAAACACTTGACATTTGCTGATCCCAAATGCTTGACTAACCTGCACCACCGACAGTTGAATCTGGAGGTAAAGACAAGATTCACACATACTTTCATTTCCACACACTTCACTCCCTCCCCCTCTGCCACCTCATCCAGTGTCTGACTCCAGTTCTCTCTCCATCTTTCAGGAGGAAGGTCTACGGGACCAATCTCATCGATGTGCCTGTGAAGTCCTTCATGCGACTACTGGTTGAGGAGGTGATTGGCTTGAACAACGATTTACATTTTCTCATTGATTTACATATACAGGACTAGATTTACTGACCATTTGCAGTGGTGCACTTGTTTATATTCATAAGGGAAATATACATTCACAAAAGCCGAATCATGAAACTTCGGTTTAAGGTCTCATTGTTCCACGTAAATGTTCGATCTACCAACAGTTACAGACAATAATACAAGTGTAAGGCCTGCTCACTCTGTACCCCTCTCTCTCTTTCTCCATCCATGCCTCTATTCTCCCTCCCTCCATCTCTGCAGGTGCTCAACCCATTCTACATGTTCCAGGTGTTCAGCATTGCTTTGTGGCTGACAGATAAATACTACTACTATGCTGCTTGCATTGTCATCATCTCCCTCATCTCCATCTGTGTGTCTCTCTACGAGATCCGCAAGGTGAGTGACACCAGAAGGAGCCTCCCATGTCCTCTGTGCTCCCATGAAAGCTTTCAGATACATTTACAAATAGGTATTTTTGAGATCGTTATGGTTCTGATATCGTGGGTGATACATTATGGAACACACCTTTTTATATTCCTATTTTCTTAGTACCTGTTATAGGGCAGACTATCATCTAGCTGTCTACATGTTCACCACTGAATTGTTGGTTCTGTGATTCCACAGCAAAGCAACACGATCCGTAGCATGGCTCAGCTGATAACCAATGTTACCGTGCGCAGAAGCTCCGGGGGTGAGTTTTCCCTCCATTGTTGTCTTCCATAGCCAGCATACACATATTTAGCAGATGTTATCGCGGGTGTGGCGAAATGCTTTTGTTCCTAGCTCCAACAGTTCAGTAACTCTTGACAATAGAAAACAATACACGCAAATCAAAATATTTAAATAAAGGAATTATGAAATATATAAATGTTAGAACGAGAGTCAGTCGTATGTGTAGTAGAGCAGTGGTCACCAACCCTGGTTCTCGGAGAGCTACAGGGTGTGCACAGTCACACTTTGGGTTCAAGCCCACTACTAACACACCGGATTCCCCTATTCAAGGTGTTGATGATTTGCACACATACACACTCGTCCACCCCATTAAATACATTTGACTCTGGAAAGACCTGTGTGTTAGTGCTTGGCTGGAACAAAAGTCTGCTGTAGTAGGAGCAGATTAACACATTGATGCCCTGGCGCTGTCTTTCAGAGGAGGACAGTTTGAGCTCGGTGGAGCTGGTCCCGGGGGACTGTGTGCTGATCCCTCAGGAGGGGCTGCTGCTGCCCTGCGACGCTGCTCTGCTGGCCGGGGAGTGCATGGTCAACGAGAGCATGCTCACCGGTGAGGCCAAACAGAACTCTATCACAAATGACTTCAGTCATGAAGTAACAGAAACAGTGACCCCAAACTTTTCCTCAAAAACTACACTGAGGTCTGGCTGAAATTTGCGTTAAGTTGAAACTTTCTCAACTCTCATCACAAAATGTCTAGTTGAACTTGCCAATGGTCAACTCATTGAATATCTCCTACATTGACAGTTACTGATTTTCAATCCTTTTGAAGCTCTAAGTAGTGAGCAATGTGAATCCACTGTAACAGTCACCTGGCCCTCTGTCCACCCATACTGCCTCTAGGCGAGAGTGTCCCTGTGATGAAGACCCCACTGCCGGCTGCTGGGGGGCGTTACAGCTCTGAGACCCAGCGCAGACACACCCTCTTCTGCGGCACGCAGTGCATCCAGGCCAAAGGGGGCCGGCCAGGAGTGGGAGGGGCCATTGCCGTGGTCACAAGCACAGGTGAGACAGATACCTTTACACTACCGATATGAAAGGTCAAACAACAGACAAAAATATAGATCATGCATGTATGTATGTGTGTATATACACTACCGGTCAAAAGTTTTAGAACACCTACTCATTAAAGTGTTTTTCTTTTATTTTTTACTATGTTCTACATTGTAGAATAATAGTGAAGAGATCAAAACTATGAAATAGCACATATGGAATCATGTAGTAACCAAAAAAGTGTTAAACAAATCAAAATATATTTTATGTTTGAGGTTCTTCAAATAGCCACCCTTTGCCTTGATGACGGCTTTGCCCACTCTTGGCATTCTCTCAACCAGCTTCATGAGGTAGTCACCTGGAATGCATTTCAAATAACAGGTGTGCCTTCTTAAAAGTTAATTTGTGGAATTTATTTCCTTCTTAATGCGTTTGAGCCAATAAGTTGTGTTGTGACAAGGTAGGGGGGGTATACAGAAGATAGCCCTATTTGGTAAAATACCAAGTCCATATTATGACAAGAACTGCTCAAATAAGCAAAGAGAAACGACAGTCCATCATTACTTTAAGACATGAAGGTCAGTCAATACAGAAAATTTCAAGAACTTTGAACGTTTCTTCAAGTGCAGTCACAAAAACCATCAAGCGCTATGATGAAACTGCTTCTCCTGAGGACCGCCACAGGAATGGAAGACCCAGAGTTACCTCTCTGCAGAGGATAAGTTCATTAGAGTTACCAGCCTCAGAAATTGCAGCCCAAATAAATGTAACAGACACATCTCAACAGCAACTGTTCAGAGGAGACTGTGTGAATTAGGTCTTCATGGTCGAATTGCTGCAAAGGAACCACTACTAAAGGACACCAATAAGAAGAAGAGACTTGCTTGGGCCAAGAAACACGAGTAATGGACATTAGACCGGTAAAATGTGTCCTTTGGTCTGGAGTCCAAATTGGAGATTTTTGGTTCCAACTGCCGTGTCTTTGTGAGACGCGGTGTGGGTGAACGGATGATCTCCGCATGTGTATTTCCCACTGTAAAGCATGGAGGAGTAGGTGTTATGGTGTGGGGGTGCTTTGCTGGTGACACTGTCTGTGATTTATTTAGAATTCAAGGCACACTTAACCAGCATGGCTACCACAGCATTCTGCAGCGAGACGCCATCCCATCTGGTTTGGGCTTAGTGGGACTATCATTTGTTTTTCAACAGGACAATGACCCAACACACCTCCAGGCTGTGTAAGGGCTATTTTACCAAGAAGGAGAGTGATGGAGTGCTGCATCAGATGACCTGGCCTCCACAATGCCCCGACCTCAACCAAATTGAGATAGGTTTGGGATGAGTCGGACCGCAGAGTGAAGGAAAAGCAGCCAACAAGTGTTCAGCATATGTGGGAACTCCTTCAAGACTGTTGGAAAAGCATTCCAGGTGAAGCTGGTTGAGAGAATGTCAAGAGTGTGCAAAGCTGTCATCAAGGCAAAGGGTGGCTATTTGAAGAATCTCAAATATAAAATATATTTAAATTTGTTTAACACTTTTTGGGTTACTACATGATTCCATATGTATTATTTCATAGTTTTGATATCTTCACTATTATTCTACAGTTGCAAACCGTAGTCTGTCTTTTTTATGGCGGTTTTGGAGCAGTGGCTTCTTCCTTGCTGAGCAGCCTTTCAGGTTATGTCGATATAGGACTAGTTTTACTGTGGATATAGATACTTTTGTACCTGTTTCCTCCAGCATCTTCACAAGGTCCTTTGCTGTTGTTCTGGGATTGATTTGCACCAAAGTACTTTAATCTCTAGGAGACAGAACGTGTCTCCTTCCTGAGTGGTATGACGGCTGTGTGGTCCCATGGTGTTTATACTTGCGTACTATTGTATGTACAGATGAACGTGGTACCTTCAGGCGTTTGGAAATTACTCCCAAGGATGAACCAGACTTGTGGAGGTCTACAATTTTTTTTCTGAGGTCTTGGCTGATTTCTTTAGATTTTCCCATGATGACCATCGTTATGTTTTGGAGGAAAAAGGGGTTGCTTGCAAGCCGAAGAACACCATCCCAACCGTGAAGCATGGGGGTGACAGCATCATGCTGTGGGGATGCTTTGCTGCAGGAGGGACTGGTGCACTTCACAAAATAGATGGCATCATGAGGAAGGAAAATTATGTGGATATATTGAAGCAACATCTCAAGATATCAGTCAGGAAGGTAAAGCTTGGTCGCAAATGGTCTTCCAAATGGACAATGTTCCAAAGTTGTGGCAAAATGGCTTAACGACAACAAAGTCAAGGTATTGGAGTGTCCATCACAAAGCCCTGACCTCAATCCTATAGAACATTTGTGGGCAGAACTGAAAAAGCGTCTGCGAGCAAGGAGGCCTGCAAATCTGACTCGGGTACACCAGGATGTGATGAAATGTGATGAAAGAAATAAAAGCTGAAATGAATCATTCTCTCTACTATTATTCTGACATTTCACATTCTTAAAATAAAGTGGTGATCCTAACTGACCTAAGACAGGGAATTTTTACTAGGATTAAATGTCAGGAATTGTGACAAACTGAGTTTAAATGTATTTGGCTAAGGTGTATGTAAACTTCCAACTTCAACTGTATGTATGTATGTATGTATATATGTATGTGTGTGTGTATATACACACAAAATACACACATACTTTCTTATGCATGTACACTACCGTTCAAAAGTTTGGGGTCACTTAGAAATGTCCTTGTTTTCCATGAAAACATACATGAAATGAGTTTGAATAGGAAATATAGCAAAATGAATAGGAAATGTAGTCATTGACAAGGTTAGAAATAATGATTTTTAATTGAAATAATAATTGTGTCCTTCAAACTTTGCTTTCGTCAAAGAATCCTCCATTTGCAGCAATTACAGCCTTGCAGACCTGTGGCATTGTAGTTGTCCTGAAGCACCTCCCACAAGTTGGATTTGCTTGATGGGCACTTCTTATGTACCATACGGTCAAGCTGCTCCCACAACAGCTCAATAGGGTTGAGATCCGGTGACTGTGCTGGGCACTCCATTATAGACAGAATACCAGCTGACTGCTTCTTCCCTAAATAGTTCTTGCATAGTTTGGAGCTGTGCTTTGGGTCATTGTCCTGTTTTAGGAGGAAATTGGCTCCAATCAAGCGCCGTCCACAGGGTATGGCATGGTGTTGCTAAATGGAGTGATAGCCTTTCTTCTTCAAGATCCCTTTTACCCTGTACAAATCTCCCACTTTACCACCACCAAAGCACCCCCAGACCATCACATTGCCTCCACCATGCTTGACAGATGGCATCAAGCACTTCTCCAGCATCTTTTCATTTGGTCTGCGTCTCACAAATGTTCTTCTTTGTGATCCGAACGCCTCAAACTTCGATTCGTCTGTCCATAACACTTTTTTCCAATCTTCCTCTGTCCAGTGTCTGTGTTCTGTTGCCCATCTAAATATTTTCTTTTAATTGGCCAGTCTGAGATATGGCTTTTTCTTTGCAACTCTGCCTAGAAGGTCAGCATCCCGGACTCGCCTCTTCACTGTTGACGTTGAGACTGGTGTTTTGCGGGTACTATTTAATGAAGCTGCCAGTTGAGGACCTGTGAGGCGACTGTTTCTCAAACTAGACTCTAACGTATTTGATCAGTTGTGCACCGGGGCCTCCCACTCCTCTTTCTTTTCTGGTTAGAGCCAGTTTGCGCTGTTCTGTGAAGGGAGTAGTACACAGCGTTGCACAAGATCTTCAGTTTCTTGGCAATTTCTCGCATGGAATAGCCTTCATTTCTCAGAACAATAATAGACTGACGAGTTTCAGAAGGAAGTTATTTGTTTCTGGCCATTTTGAGCCTGTAATCAAACCCACAATTGCTGATGCTCCAGATACTCAACTAGTCTCAAGAAGGCCAGTTTTATTGCTGCTTTAATCAGCACAACAGTTTTCAGCTGTGCTAACATAATTGAAAAATGGTTTTCTAATGATCAATTAGCCTTTTTAAAATGATAAACTTGGATTAGCAAACACAACGTGCCATTGGAACACAGGACTGATGGTTGCTGATAATGGGCCTCTGTACGCCTATGTAGATATTCCATTAAAAATCAGCCGTTTCCAGCAACAATAGCCATTTACAACATTAACAATGTCTACACTGTATTTCTGATCAATTTCATATTATTTTAATGGACAAAAAAATATATATATTTCGAAAACAAGGACATTTCTAAGTGACCCCAAACTTTTGAACGGTGGTGTACATAATTAGACCTCATCATATTACATTATAAAAGGACTGTGTTTGTCCTCCACTCATAATATTGTTGGTTTGTGTCCCTCAGGGTTCTTCACAGCCAAGGGAGACCTGGTCAGCTCCATCCTCTACCCTCAACCCATCAACTTCCGCTTCTACCGAGACGCTATTAAGTTCCTGCTCTTCCTGGGGGTTGTAGGTAAGCTCCGACACACAGTAGAGTTGCACATCGTAAAATAACTCACTTTTCAATTATTTTAAATGGGTGCTAGACAAGTTGAGAAGTATAAAAGTATTACCAAGCAGCCCCTTATAGCAATTAGCCCCTTATACTGTGTTAACATATAATTTCAGCATTAACCAATATTTAATTGTGTTTCAGCATTGTGTGGCACAGTATACAGCATTGTGATCCTAAGCAGAACCAACGTAAGTATTTGCAATACCAACCTTATTAATACCATGAGTTCATTTTCACCCTAATTGATTAGATAAACAAACAACAATTGGGTGATCTTGGAGCTGGACAAAAATATTTGACCCTCTGAGGATTATTAGGTTATTCCATATAGGATTTCTTAATTAGATGTAATTGTGTCTCTAGACCACGTGGTGGGAGCTGGTGATTCGGTCTCTGGACATTGTGACCATCGTGGTGCCCCCTGCCCTCCCTGCTGCCATCACCACTGGCACCATCTACGCCCAGGGTCGTCTGAAGAGAGAAGGGGTCTTCTGCATAAGCCCCCCGCGCATCAACATCTCTGGGAAGGTCTCGCTCTTTTGCTTTGACAAGGTGAGGCCCCAAACCAGTAGGCCCTAGTGTGTGTGTGTGTGTGTGTGTGTGTGTGTGTGTGTTTTGGGGTGGAGGCAGCTAGGAGGACTGACAGCTGTAGAAATTATCTCTTGGTCGTGTTCTGTAGGCACACAACAGGAGAAAACATTTTGAAACGGAGCTACTACCTGAGTTTTTCTTTTTCGTTGCAAAACGCTCTGCTACGTTACGCTCTACTGAACACAACCCTGGTGAACTATTTTGAACCAGGAAGTGTGTGTCTACTCTCTATTCTTCTGTATAAAGACAGGCACTCTGACTGAGGAGGGGCTGGACGTGTGGGGGGTGATGGAGGGTAGTGGAGCTGGGTTCTCTGAGCTGGTCCCTTACCCACACCTCCTGCCCCAGGGGCCCATGCTCTCTGCCATGGCCTGCTGCCACTCTGTGGCCTTGCTGGGGGGACAACCCCTGGGAGACCCTCTGGAGCTCAAGATGATCGAGTCCACCGGCTGGGTAAGACTGAGAAACCAAGGACCAGATTTATGGAGTGTTTGTATTAGGTGCAAAGTCATTTCTTCTTCAATAGGGGCTGAATATTTCACCTGTGTGACTGACTGTTTTCCTGCCAGGAGCTGGAGGAGCCTGCAGGAGATGACAAAACGTTAGACTCAGAGTTCGGAGGTCACAGGGTCCTGGCAGTGATGCGACCCCCTTCCTGTCCACTCCAATCTGAGAGTGTAGTGAGTATCCCATGTGGTGATGCCCCCTGAGGTGTTCACAGATCTGAAAGAGTTGAATAAGTGAATTCAATGCGGTGGAAGAAGCTCTTAGCTTATTGGTGGGCCAGATCTGTGGACACCTAAGGGGTTAGCACTATGAAAAAGTCTGTATTATCTAGGCCTAGGGCTATGTGGGCCTGTTTCCTTAGTGACCTAGCCTTCCCCATCTACTGACAAGGTTCTTTGTTCTTGGGTTCCTCTCAGAGATCATAGGATCTCTGCAATGTTTGTGTCATTGGGAACACTTGATGAGTTGATTATTTGAATCAGCTGTGTAGTGCTAGGGCAAAAAACTAAATGTGCACCTCTTGGGGTCGCCAGGACTGTGTTTGGGAAATGCTGACCTACAGTAGATAGTGGTTTGTGTCAGGAGTGTTGAGGCCGTTGTCGTAAACTGACTTCCAGTTATCATGACTGTTTATGACGTCTGTGGCATCGTTTTAACACCATTATGAAGGCCTTATGATGAAGGATTCAAGCCAGGAAGTTTAACCATGGTTTTCTTCTCTCCTCTCCTGTCCCATTAGTCCAACCGTGAGGCGGTGGCCCTCGTGCAGCGTTTCCCTTTCTCCTCGTCCCTCCAGCGGATGAGTGTGGTGACGGTGGCCCCCGGGGGACAGCCTTCCCTCGCCTTTATCAAAGGGGCCCCAGAGATGGTGGCCAGCCTCTGCCTGAGAGAAAGCGGTATAGAAGAAAGAGGGAGACAGAGTGGAGAGATGGAGAGCGCTATGAAATTATAGATAATTCACAGAAATAATAAATTGCCATAAGATTAGCATTGGCACTGGTTCAACTTAATTTTGTGAGGTGATGTAATTGTGTTTTAAGTCTGTATTGTTTTGGTTATTGTTTAGTTCTACTGTCTGTCTTTTAACACGTGTCTTGCAGTGCCTGCACAATTCTCAAACACCCTACGTACTTTCGCAAGTGACGGCTTCAGGGTGCTAGCTCTCGGCTACAAAACTCTGGATGGGCAGACTGACTTGAGCACCACTGAACGGTAAGACATTTTTATGAAGAACTTCAAATGCGGTTATGTCCCTTCTAGCTCCTAGCTACTACCCAAGTCCTCAATGACTTCTTCTAAGCATGTGCCTGTAGCTCCGATGGTGAACTATCACGTCAGTAGGTGTTGATGGAGCTGTGTTGGTGTCCACAGGGTGGAGGTAGAGAGAGACATGCAGTTCCTGGGTCTGCTGGTGATGAAGAATCTGGTCAAGCCAGAGAGTGCTGAGGTCATCACTACCCTCAGATTGGCACATCTTCGTACCGTCATGGTCACTGGTATGAATAGCATATCTCTTTTGTCTTTGTAGCCGAAACATAATTGGACTATTAGAAATATCAATCATGGCCATAGAGGAACGCAGTGTACAGGTTCCCCCCCCCCCCCCCCCCCCCAGGAGGGTTAGTGCTGGGCTAGAACAAAAACATGCACACGCTATGGCCCTCCAGAGCAACCCATTCTAAGGCATACACTCTTAAGTCCAATCCTCTCACTCAAAGATATTACAGTATGTCTCATAGTAGGCCACCTAGCCTAAGTATTTCCTTTCCTACTTCACAGGTGACAACGTTCTGACTGCAGTCAACGTGGCTCAAACTTGTGGGATGGTGGGCTCGAACGAGAGGGTGATTTTTGTTCACGCCACCCCCCAGACGGGCCAGTCTATGCCCTCACTGCGCTTCCACCTGGGGGAAGGAGGGACGGGGACCACAGCCACACAGAGCTCCATAGACATCTACACTCAGGTTTGTCTTTACCTCATGCTAGGGCGAATCTTAACTTCCACTCAAGTCGAATTTTCACCATAAAAATGCACCACCTAATTGAACATTTGTGCTTATAGCCTACTGCCGTGTGTGCATTGCTGCGCTTATAATGTGAAGAAATAGCCTTCTAGTTTATCAAAATGTTAAGCTAAATGTTCTGATCTGTTGTGTCACGCTCATTGCTTAAAACATTTTTTTTAATGCTTGTGGCTGTATTAATTTGGGATCTATCGCATCCCACAACTGTCCCAGACTATGTTTGGAAAATGTATTTATCGCACAGAATAGAATAGGTCGACTTTTGTGCTATGGGGTATAGTAGATTTGACATAGGCTAGTGCTTTTGCTGTTCATTAGGCCTACTCATCTTGTTGGCTGACGAAAAGTAAATGTGGACAGTTCTTCCAATATCTTCAATATGCGCCTCGGAATTGGATAAGGACGCGCGCAGTTGCGTTCCCGATATGTCGGTCTTCACTTGTAGCCTGTGAGAAAGACCCAATCATGTGAGTGAGAGGTGCTTCGGCACACAGCCGGGAGAAGGGAATTATAATTATTATATTCAGCCCAAGGGCACGATGGCCACTGGCCGCAAAAGGCATGGATTATTTTAGGGGTCATTACCGCCACACAAAGGGGATGCAGCTGGTAAATTCAAGGCATTATCAAGTGCTTGTCATTGTGAATGAGAGACTAATGAAGTGTGTACAGCCTGCGCAAAAACAAAATGCCGAGCTCATCCCTTTCATGCGACTTTTTTCAAATCATCATTAGTCGCATCATGCAGCCTTAGAATGTATTAAATATCAAAACATATAGGCCAATATTTGTATCACAACTAAAGTTACATAAATAACTAAATTAAGCATATTGGAGTACCTGTTTCTTTGTTAACTGCTCAACACAGAATAGCCACATGTGCGCACTCCCTCAAATCATTTGGAGAAAATATCCTTTCTATTTTATTCAGCTATGTTCAGTTGCATTCTTCATACTATAAAATAATGCCACGGAATTCTAAGCAAATCTTGTCTGCTAAATGAACTAGTGTAGCCCACAGCCATATGGCATAGCCAGATCAGGGCCTAACATAAGGACAACTCAGAGTATGCTATTCTGGTCTTCTGAAATAGACTACATTTTCTTCATATCATGTTTCTTTAGACCTGTCTAAAATAAGTAATGGATTTATTGAGATGGTTTAGGCTATATTACATGGATTTATTAGACTTTTAAAAAAATTTAAATGTTCCAAAGGTCTGCATTGGTGGCTTGTAGGCTATGCATGGAAGCCAGGAGATGCTAAATGTGTTTGTTAATTAACGGTCAGTTACCGTGAGACCGGCAGTTATTTGCTTGACAATCACCGCCTGACAATTTCATGACCGCCACAAGCCTAGTCATGCATTGATGTCAATGGGAGACTAAGTGAAAATTTGGCAGGTTGGCATTTATTGTCATGAATCTTGCCCTGGAGGCAGCTCTGCAGAGTGGTCATTAACTGGTAGAGCCACAAGGTCATAAAATCAGATTTTAACCTTAAATTAAGACCAAAAAGCACATTTTCATAAATTTTTACGATATAGAAAATGTTGACTTTGCAGCTGGCCCAGCTTGCGGAAATCGCTCAGTTCTGCCTCCTGGGCAGATTCATGACAATAAACATCAACCTGCGAAAATTTTAGGAAGTGGAAGTTAGGATCCACCCCACTGTTCTTTCATGTTATCATTTTATTTTGAGGCAGACCTATGCCTTGTGCCATACCGATTACGGAAGCTACTGTCTGTAATACTCCTGTTCACCACCCCTTGTTTTCTCAGGGTCTGTACCAGGGTGGTATCAACTATCACCTGGCCATCAATGGAAAGTCCTTCTCCGCCCTGTGTGACCACTTCCCTGAGTATCTGCCAAAGGTGAGACCACCTTCCCATTGTCCACTGTACTCAACCACCCGGTTAGCTGAATAGTCTTAACACATACCAGGGAAATGGTTCTGAATGGTCAGTATGATGCTATTGTGTAGAATAGAGAATACATTATGAGTGTGTTGTGTTTTCAGGTGTTGATGCGAGGAACGGTCTATGCACGGATGGCCCCTGAACAGAAGACTCAGCTGGTCACAGAGCTGCAGAAACTGAAGTAAGAGAGAGGGAGCAAAGGTGGAAAGAACAGAGGAAACCAGTCAGGGAAGAGGAGACCAGTGGAGGAGACAAGACTAGAATGAGAGAGATGGAGGGTAGAGTCATGCGTAGGGAAAAGGAGGAAGACACAAAGAAACTCTGTAGCAAACCAAAGGCAAATGAAGGTACATGAAAGGATAGATGGAAAGACAGGAAGATGGGCAGATTCTTCCATTGATCTGCTCTCTTCGACACAGCTCGGTAGTGTGAAAAGGGTATAGGCCTAAGTTCTCACCCATTCACCTTCTCTCTCCCTCCCTGTGTAGCTACCGAGTGGGCATGTGCGGAGACGGGGCCAATGACTGCGGAGCCCTAAGGGCCGCAGACGTAGGCGTGTCTCTGTCGGAGGCAGAAGCGTCCGTGGCCTCTCCCTTCACCTCCAAGTCAGACAACATCAGTTGTGTGCCTCTACTCATCCGGTAAGGACACCACACTCTGTTCAAGAGTAGCCTGACATCAACACATCCAACAGTAACGAGTACTGTAATGTCATAGGAAAAATAATATGTGCAGTTGTCATTCTTTTATGACAAGGGTGATTCGTCCTCTGTTTCACAGGGAGGGCCGGTGTTCTCTGGTGACGTCATTCAGTCTCTTCAAGTACATGGCCTTGTACAGTCTCATCCAGTTCTCCTCTGTGCTCATCCTCTACACTGTGAGTTCTACAGTAGTTGCTCTGCCAAGCTTACAATGTTTATTTACCCCTGGAAAGACAGGCAGGAGATGTGCAGTAGTTTGGAGGGGTTCATGGTGCATACTTCCTCATGTTTCATCACTTTAGCCAAAATACTAAGAATGCGTTGAAATGTTATTTTACCCTCCCCCACATATAGCATGTGTTGACTCTCTCTGCCATTTTGTGTACCCCATTCAGGAGAAGACTAACCTGGGCGACCTGCAGTTCCTGTTCTTTGACATGGTCCTGGTGACGCTGCTGGCTATCGTCATGGGGAAAGGGGGCCCAAGCACAGAGCTGCACCCCCAGCGGCCCCCAGCCAGCTTGCTGGCGCTGCCAGTCCTGGCTAGCCTGACGCTGCACACCCTGCTGCTCATCCTGGGCCAGGTGTCTGCTCTGCTGATCACCACCTCCCAGGACTGGTAAGAACCATTGATGAATAGTGATTATGATCAGCTTGATTTGTATAGCACCTTTATAAATTAAATATTATATAGTATTAAAGTCTTCATATCTCAAAATCAATGTCATGTGGTTAATGAAAATTATACAAATCTAAAAGTAACTTATATTGCCATTGCCAGCTATGTAAAAATAGCCTACATAAAGCCAACAAATAAAAACATTGCAGCCCGCAGGTAGAAAATATCCTGATAAATATCCTATAAATTACATTGGCTACGCATGGCCTGTCTGCAAGGAACTTAAAACATTGTATCAACTATTGTATTCACTTGGTCTGGCACGAAGCTCGTGCTAGTAAACTTGCAACATTGTAGAAAATATTCTGGACCCTCAGAGTTTCCAGCGCCAGTGAGCTCCGGACAGAGCTATTTTGCGCAAGGAATAAGAAGTAATTAGGTAGGCCTATTTTATGACGTTTCCACCGGATCAGAGCATGACAATTTTTTCCCCTTTCATGCTAAGTGGTAATCGAAAGGGAGAGAGCTGGAAAGATTTTTCAAATAGGCTAAATTGAGGAACTATTGTCATTCTCAATGGATGTGAAAACAGACTTTGTTTACTTGCTGTTTGAGGCGAAGAAAAAAATACTTTGAGGAGCTCCACAGTGATGGTGAGTTAAGACAATCAGAAATAGTATCAGATCCCCAAATGGGTACATTTATAGGCCTACATTTGCGTGCAGGCCAGGTAGACTAGTCCTACTTCTATATGTGTAATCAGGTGCGTGTCCTTACTCAAGATTGACAGGAGCGCTCCAAACAAAAGTCAATGAATAAATTCACAACTCATAAATGGAATGAAATAAACAAACTTTTTTCCCACAAGTGTAGCCTAGGTTGTGCGCTCTGCAAACAATGTGTCCACTCCTACAATGACAACGGTAAGACTGTAATAATAATATATTGAATGCATTAACAGAAATTAACCAAACAAACATTGTAGATTAGAAATTAAGGGAATTAACTGTAAATGTTCTACTGGTGATACTGGTGTGCCATCCCTGCGGCCTCCACAATGGATTCTGACAGGTGTGAATCAGACAGGTGTCTCGTGTGCCATAATTTAATTGTATATATATTTGCCACTGCTCGACTAAAAAAATCTTGGTCAACCAACAGCCTATCAACCAAACAATCGACCAGTCGACTAAATGTGGTCAGCCTTAATAATTTTTGTAATTAGTGATGGGGGATCGATACAGTAGAGTATCTCAATATTATTTTTGCCAATTTTTATATTGATACTCTGACTACACTTATCGATTCTAAAATAAAATACAAATATTTGTAAAAAATTGCTAGCTAGTTAACGTTACCTAGCTCTAGACTAGTCGGCTGTACCTGCTCCAAAACTCATCCTATATAACATATTGCTCACTATAGGTCTGCTGCAGTGGGACGAGAGAGCCATGAAAAAACGAGTTTGTGCTAAAAACATGTTGGCTCACCATTTAAAAAGAACATGGAGAAAGGCTTGTTCTCCGTGTTCTTTTTAAATGGTGAGCCAACATGTTTTTAGCACTTTTAGCACAAACTCGTTTTTTCATGGCTCTCTTTTGTCCCTCTGCAGCAGACATACAGTGGGGAGAACAAGTATTTGATACACTGCCGATTTTGCAGGTTTTCCTACTTACAAAGCATGTAGAGGTCTGTAATTTTTATCATAGGTACACTTCAACTGTGAGAGACGGAATCTAAAACAAAAATCCAGAAAATCACATTGTATGATTTTTAAGTAATTAATTTGCATTTTATTGCATGACATAAGTATTTGATACATCAGAAAAGCAGAACTTAATATTTGGTACAGAAACCTTTGTTTGCACACACTGCAGCAGGGATTTTGGCCCATTCCTCCATACAGACCTTCTCCAGATCATTCAGGTTTCGGGGCTGTCGCTGGGCAATACAGACTTTCAGCTTCCTCCAAATATTTTCTATTGGGTTCAGGTCTGGAGACTGGCTAGGCCACTCCAGGACCTTGAGATGCTTCTTATGGAGCCACTCCTTAGTTGCCCTGGCTGTGTGTTTCGGGTCGTTGTCATGCTGGAAGACCCAGCCACGACCAATCTTCAATGCTCTTACTGAGGGAAGGAGGTTGTTGGCCAAGATCTCGCGATACATGGCCCCATCCATCCTCCCCTCAATACGGTGCAGTCATCCTGTCCCCTTTGCAGAAAAGCATCCCCAAAGAATGATGTTTCCACCTCCATACTTCACGGTTGGGATGGTGTTCTTGGGGTTGTACTCATCCTTCTTCTTCCTCCAAACACGGCGAGTGGAGTTTAGACCAAAAAGCTATATTTTTGTCTCATCAGACCACATGACCTTCGCCCATTCCTCCTCTGGATCATTCAGATGGTCATTGGCAAACTTCAGACGGGCCTGGACATGCGCTGGCTTGAGCAGGGGGACCTTGCGTGCGCTGCAGGATTTTAATCCATGACGGCGTAGTGTGTTACTAATGGTTTTCTTTGAGACTGTGGTCCCAGCTCTCTTCAGGTCATTAACCAGGTCCTGCCGTGTAGTTCTGGGCTGATCCCTCACCTTCCTCATGATCATTGATGCCCCATGAGGTGAGATCTTGCATGGAGCCCCAGACCGAGGGTGATTGACCATCATCTTGAACTTCTTCCATTTTCTAATAATTGCGCCAACAGTTGTTGCCTTCTCACCAAGCTGCTTGCCTATTGCCCTGTAGCCCATCCCAGCCTTGTGCAGGTCTACAATTTTATCCCTGATGTCCTTACACAGCTCTCTGGTCTTGGCCATTGTGGAGAGGTTGGAGTCTGTTTGATTGAGTGTGTGGACAGGTGTCTTTTATATAGGTAACGAGTTCAAACAGGTGCAGTTAATACAGGTAATGAGTGGAGAACAGGAGGGCTTCGTAAAGAAAAACTAACAGGTCTGTGAGAGCTGGAATTCTTACTGGTTGGTAGGTGATCAAATACTTATGTCATGCAATAAAATGCAAATGAATTACTTAAAAATCATACAATGTGATTTTCTGGATTTTTGTTTTAGATTCCGTCTCTCACATTTGAAGTGTACCTATGATAAAAATTACAGACCTCTACATGCTCTGTAAATAGGAAAACCTGCAAAATCGGCAGTGTATCAAATACTTGTTCTCCCCACTGTATAGTGAGCAATATGTTTGGATCATAGAATCGCAATACATATTGTATCAGCACCCAAGTATCGTGAGGTCCCTGGCAATTCCCAGCCCTATTCTTAATGACACAGAATAATGTTCTGATATTTTGAGGAGGGGAAATTAAGGGTTCTCATTGGAATGGATCCTTGAGAAGGACCAAAGGACTAATAAGAAGGGTTTTGGGTGTGACTCACATCATTTTAAACCTCAATGTGACTATCAAAAACACAGCAGCTCAATTACTTTCAACAAACGCAGTGCATTATGGGAGAATGTCTAGGTAAATGCATATTAATTATTCCTCTCTTCTTTTAGGTTTGTTCCTCTCAATTCGACAATGTCAGGTGCAGCGAACCTGCCCAACCTTGAGGACACCATTGTGTTTGACCTGTCAGGGTACCAGTACATCATCATGGCGGTGGTGGTGACTAAAGGATACCCCTACAAGAGACCTCTGTACTACAACGGTGAGGCACCAACCAGGGGGCTACAGACATATCACATCATTCTTTGTGGGGTTTGGTAACGTTGTACGAATGTGCCTTGCAAATCAAAGTCACAAAAAAAGCACCTACTGCTGGGCCTCCTTTCCCCCCGTTGACGTTCATTCAGTGTGCTGTAGAGGTTAGTTTACTTGATTGTTCAATTTAAAAATAGGTTTGAAGTCAAGCTGATTCCACCCATGCAAATGGACTAGACTTGAAACCAATGTTGAGGTACTAAACCATCTGACACTTAGATTTGAGTGAACGATCCCTTTAAGCAGTGAACTCTGATAATCACAGTAGCTGCCAAGGTCTCTTACATGATGCCCATATTTTCTCTCTCTCCTAACAGTGGTTTTTGTGTGTGTGCTGCTGGTCTTGTTCGCTCTGATGAGTTGGCTGGTGCTAGCTCCAGTGCCTTTCCTGCGCAAGCTGTTGAAGCTTTACGACATCCCAGATATGAACTTCAAAATCCTGCTGGTGGCTCTGGCCGCACTCAACTTTGTCATCTGCTTCCTATTGGAGGTACTGTATGCAGAGCCAACCCATGGTTGTTAAAAAAGTGTCCTTCCTTCCTTCCTTGAGGTAATCTCATGTTAGGATTCAGCCCTTAGTAAGTATGGTTACATGGACACAATAATGCGATTATTGTGGATAGTCAGATTAATATAATAGTTTGATTAAAACATTTACATGCTTTGCAAGAAGAACGATTTCCCAAAAAATCCTGTTTACATGGACACATCTGAAATCAGGCTACTTGATGGCACTCTGATAAATGCAGAAAATCGGCAATCAAAATAAACGTTCTACCACAGCGACCATGTTATTTTTTGGAAGCATATTTTATTCTGAGTTTGGACATATAAAATGTGTATGTGAAAACTACTTCAAAGAGGCATACATTGTCCGAACTCACTTCACTCGTGCTAAAGAGGGAGGCTCGCTCGGCTGGTGCTAGCACATGTGCAGATCAAATACACCGCTGCAGCACCGATTTACGGTGTTTACATGTCCTAATAATTTGAAAGATTGCTCAGAAAACCAGGGGCCTCATTTATCAATATTGCGTAGAAACTATTCTTTAAATACTACTTACGAACGGAATTTAGAATGTTCGTATGCATAGGACAAAGTGTGATTTATCAAACAATCCTACGAGCGTCATATGCACAGCGGTAGGAGATAACCATTGATAAATACCACAGGAGGCTGCTGAGGGGAGGACGGCTCATAGAATCAAACACATAGAAACCATGTTTGACGTATTTGATTCCACTCCAGCCATTACCACGAGCCCTTCCTCCCCAATTAAGGTGCCACCAACCTCCTGTGATAAATACCAATGGTTCTCGTGCTCGTGCACGACCTTGGCTATTTGCATTTCGAAACGCCCCTAATTAAACATATGGTCAAAATCATCCCTTTAAAGCCTGTGTGGACTATACAACGAGGAGAAAAAACCCCATCTGAGACTGAAATAGAGGTGTTAGTGTCAGAGATTGAGTACAACTAAAATGTTTTATTTGGCTTGCTCAGTTGTGGCTTGACGAGTAAAAACCATTTATGAAAATTCACATTGCTTTAGCAATGGCAAATATATTTCAAATGAGTAGGCAACACTCACTAATAATCCATCCTCAACAGCTCCCTCCTATAGGCATATAGGCCAACATTGCTGTTCTGCAGAATGAACGAGTCGTTTGTTCCACCACATTCAGCAGCATCTTTTGCACATCACCTGCACATTAAAAGTGGAAGCCTTTTCTGTTCATAGTTGAAATTGTTTTGGGATGGTGCTGTTATGGCGATGTGGGTGTTGTCTATTGCTCCGTTCGTATTTGGGAACCCATTGATGGCATCATGGCAAAGAAACCCCTCTTGACTTCACCTGTTGTGCAATGGTGTATGTAAATGGTATGTTTTACTGTTCGTTTTGCTGATGATTGCATCCAAAACATTGGCTCTTCGAGGGCTGTGAGGTCGGCAGGCTCCCACTGAAAAGTGCCCGTTTCCCAAAACCCGAGGGTGGATAGCATTTGGAAGTGCACCGGAATGGCATGTTTGTCTTTTTAAGGTAGGTCTTAAATCCTTGCAAAAACCCTATAAATTGGTTTTGGGAAACGATATCTGTTGAGCCAATCTGTACTTTCTGCAAAAAAAGAGTCACACCCGTCTCCAAAAACCGCACAGCGTGTGCCAAATCTTCAAATAGAGCAAGATCAGACAACTCTCATTTGATTTCCCATTATCAGTCTTTTATAGTGTTTCAACAACACTCACACGTGCCTCTAATTTAACAAATTACTGTACTTTATATGGATTATTATTAGGGCTGTCCCTGACGAACAAAATATTGGTCGACCGAAAGTCTGTTCTTTCGACCAATTGATTGTTTAAAAAAAAAGTATATTTTTCTATATAGACACACCCTATGTGTTTTAATAAAATCAACTCTATATGCATTGAGCTTGTCTGATGCTTTAAGCGCACTGTTTGATAAAATAAGACACGACTCAAGAGGGAGCCAGAGATCAAGATAACCAGAAGAAGAAAAAATGTAATCTGACCCGACCATCCTCCTCCCGCTCCTACTTGCTTTCGCAGATTCTGCCGTTACTCTCCTGAAGTTGCCGGTAATAGAGTAATACAGTATGAGTCATAATACCCATAAAACCTAGCGGTCAAACAGGGAAATGGTTCCAATCATTTTTCCACCATTCATTTAGGGCTGTGTTTCATGTAGGCTTACCCTGGCGTGACGTTTTGATAAGTGTAAATCTCTCTAGGACAAGGTGACTTTTATTAATATATTCGCCTGTATTTTGTATTTCTTATTTATTAAGGATCCCCATTAGATGCTGCCTTCCTGGGGTCCAGCAACATTAAGGCGGTTATATACAATTTAAAATACTACATGACATTACATTTTTGTATTTATTAGGGATCCCCATTAGCTGCTGCCAAGGCAGCAGCTACTCTTCCTGGGGTCCAAACACATTAAGGCACTTACATTACATATCAAACAAAAGATAACACAGTACATCATATACAGCAACATTATTACACCACTACATACAGTGGGGGAAAAAAGTATTTAGTCAGCCACCAATTGTGCAAGTTCTCCCACTTAAAAAGATGAGAGGCCTGTAATTTTCATCATAGGTACACGTCAACTATGACAGACAAAATAAGAAAAAAACATCCAGAAAATCACATTGTAGGATTTTTAATGAATTTATTTGCAAATTATGGTGGAAAATAAGTATTTGGTCACCTACAAACAAGCAAGATTTCTGGCTCTCACAGACCTGTAACTTCTTCTTTAAGAGGCTCCTCTGTCCTCCACTCGTTACCTGTATTAATGGCACCTGTTTGAACTTGTTATCAGTATAAAAGACACCTGTCCACAACCTCAAACAGTCACACTCCAAACTCCACTATGGCCAAGACCAAAGAGCTGTCAAAGGACACCAGAAACAAAATTGTAGACCTGCACCAGGCTGGGAAGACTGAATCTGCAATAGGTAAGCAGCTTGGTTTGAAGAAATCAACTGTGGGAGCAATTATTAGGAAATGGAAGACATACAAGACCACTGATAATCTCCCTCGATCTGGGGCTCCACGCAAGATCTCACCCCGTGGGGTCAAAATGATCACAAGAACGGTGAGCAAAAATCCCAGAACCACACGGGGGGACCTAGTGAATGACCTGCAGAGAGCTGGGACCAAAGTAACAAAGCCTACCATCAGTAACACACTACGCCGCCAGGGACTCAAATCCTGCAGTGCCAGACGTGTCGCCCTGCTTAAGCCAGTACATGTCCAGGCCCGTCTGAAGTTTGCTAGAGTGCATTTGGATGATCCAGAAGAGGATTGGGAGAATGTCATATGGTCAGATGAAACCAAAATAGAACTTTTTGGTAAAAACTCAACTCGTCGTGTTTGGAGGACAAAGAATGCTGAGTTGCATCCAAAGAACACCATACCTACTGTGAAGCATGGGGGTGGAAACATCATGCTTTGGGGCTGTTTTTCTGCAAAGGGACCAGGAAGACTGATCCGTGTAAAGGAAAGAATGAATGGGGCCATGTATCGTGAGATTTTGAGTGGTCCTTCCATCAGCAAGGGCATTGAAGATGAATTGTGGCTGGGTCTTTCAGCATGACAATGATCCCAAACACACCGCCCTGGCAACGAAGGAGTGGCTTCGTAAGAAGCATTTCAAGGTCCTGGAGTGGCCTAGCCAGTCTCCAGACCTGAACCCAATAGAAAATCTTTGGAGGGAGCTGAAAGTCCGTATTGCCCAGCGACAGCCCCGAAACCTGAAGGATCTGGAGAAGGTCTGTATGGAGGAGTGGGCCAAAATCCCTGCTGCAGTGTGTGCAAACCTGGTCAAGACCTACAGGAAACGTATGATCTCTGTAATTGCAAACAAAGGTTTCTGTACCAAATATTAAGTTCTGCTTTTCTGATTTATCAAATACTTATGTCATGCAATAAAATGCAAATTAATTACTTAAAAATCATACAATGCGATTTTCTGGATTTTTGGCAGTGTATCAAAATCGGCAGTGTATCAAATACTTGTTCTCCCCACTGTATCTACAATACAACATTATTACAATGTAAGCTGTGTGCTAGTAGTTTTAAACAAACAGCTCGGTACATTCAGCTTGTCAACACTTCTTACAAAAACAAGTAGTGATGAAGTCACTCTCTTCCACTTTGAGCCATGATAGATTGACATGCATATCATTAATGTTAGCACCCCATGTACTTTTAAGGGCCAGCCATGATGCCCTGTTCAGAGCCAATTGTAATTTTCCTATGTCCCTCTGTGGCACCTGACCACACTACTGAACAGTAGTCCAGGTGCGACAAAACTAGGGCCTGTAGGACATGCCTTGTTGATAGTATTGTTAAGAAGGCAGAGCAGCACATTATTATGGACAGACTTCTCCCCATCTTAGCTACTGTTGTATCAACATGTTTTGACCCTGACAGTTTACAATCCAGGGTTACTCCAAGCAGTTTAGTGACTTCAACTTGCTAAATTTCCACATTATTTATCATATTTAGTTGAGGTTTAGGGTTTAGTGAATGATTTGTCCCAAATACAATGCTTTTAGTTTTTGAAATATTTAGGACTAATTTATTCCTTGCCACCCATTCTGAAACTAACTGCAGCTCTTTGTTAAGTGTTGCAGTGATTTCACTCTCTGTAGTTGCTGACGTGTATAGTGTTGAGTCATCCGCATACATAGACACACTGGCTTTACTCAAGGCCAGTTGCATGTCATTAGTAAAGATTGAAAAAAGACAGGGGCCTAGACAGCTGCCCTGGGGAATTCCTGATTCTACCTGGATTATGTTGGAGAGGCTTCCATTAAAGAACACCCTCTGTGTTCTGTTAGACAGGTAACTCTTTATCCACAATATAGCAGGGGGTGTAAAGCCATAACACATGTTTTTCCATCAGATAATGTCAAAAGCCACACTGAAGTCTAACAAAACAGCCCCCACAATCAATTTCGCTCAGCCAATCAGTAATTTGTATAAGTGCTGTGCTTGTTGCATGTCCTTCCCTATAAGCGTGCTGAAAGTCTGTTGTCAATTTGTTTACTGTAAAATAGCATTGTATCTGGTCAAAGACAATTTTTTCCAAAGGTTTACTAAGGGTTGGTAACAGGCTTATTGGTCGGCTGTTTGAGCCAGTAAAGGGGGTTTTACTATTCATGGGGTGCGGAATTACTTTTGCTTCCCTCCAGGGAGAGGACACACACTTTCTAGTAGGCATAAATTGAAGACGTGGCAATATCGTCCGCTATTATCCTCAGTAATTTTCCAGACCCCGGTGGCTTGTCATTGTTGCTAGATAAACAAAAAAATGTTCACTTTACGGAATTCGATCAGTTATACTTGGCCTGTATTTAACCCCCCCCCCCAAAAAAAATGAAATGCTAATGTGGCTATCATAAAGAACTACAAATGCCATGACGATCTGGGCGAGACTGCCGAATCGAGGCAAATGTAAGAATCTCTGGATTATCCATCTAATGTTAGCTAAATGTAATAATGAATACATTTGCAAAATGTATATAAATGGACAATTCTGTGAATGGTCTTGTGCAAGTTATGGATTTTTGTAGTTTTGTCTGCTTTTATCACATTAGCATTTTCGAATCATAGTAAATAGAGCCAAAAAATATTGACAAAAGTCACCTTGTTCGATAGACTTATGGTTATCAAAACGTTACGCCAGGGTAAGCCTACATGAAACACAGCCCTTATTTTAAGTGTTTCTAAAATCCTTTATGGGAAAAATGAATGGTGGAAAAACTATTGGAACCATTTCCCTGTTTGACAGCTAGGTTTTATGGGTATTATGACACACACCTCCACTGTTGCGCTCTATAGGCTACACGAGGAGTCAGCAACGTCTTTCTCATATGGAATGCCAATTTATCTTACCATTTCTACCGATCTGCGTGCCAGTTGTTTTCATATGCACATTTTCATGGAACAGTTTCATTTAATTTATTATGTCTTCGTATCTCAAAATCATTGTCATGTGGTTAATCAAAATGATAAACCTAAAAAGTAACTTCTATTGCCATTGCCAACTATGTAAAAATAGCCTATAAAGCCAACAAATAAAACCACATTGGCTATGCATGGCCCTGTTTGCAACGAATCAACTATTAACTTGGGCTGAAGCTCACACTAGCAAACTTGCAACATTGTATAAAATATTCTGGGCCCTCAGAATTATTTGCACAAGGGATAAGAAGTAATCAGGTAGGCCCTATTTTATGACATTTCCACTGGATCAGAGCATGATATTTTTCCCTTTCATGCTGAGTGGTTATCAAAAAGGAGAGAACTGGAAAGATTTTTCAAATACATTGAGGAACTATTGTCATTCTCAATGGATGTAAAAACAGACTTCGTTTGCTTGCAGTTTGAGGTGAAGAAAACATTTGCCTACTTTGAGAAGCTCCACAGCTCATTAGTGTTAGTGCGTTAAGCAAATCAGAAATACTATCAGATCCCCAAATGGAAACATTTATAAGCATACATTTGCGCGCAGGCAAGGTAGCCTATAGGCCTACTTCTATGCGTAATCAGGTGAGCGTCCTTACTCAACATTGACAGGAGCGCTACGCATGATTGATAAGAGGCCCCAGGTGTTTTTAATCGGCTTATGCTTACTTTGAACTTGACCTTACGCCAATTAACTGTAAGTCGCTCTGGATAAGAGCGTCTGCTAAATGACCAATTTATTATTATTATTTATTATTATTAAGATAAGCAGAGTAAAGTGTTTACATGACTACTGCCATAATCAGTTTAATATCAAATTATTACTATGCATTTAAACGTACTCAATGACTGTGTGACTATATCCTACTGGTTCTCCTGTAGATGCTGATAGACCGAGGTATGCTGAACTGCCTGCGTCTGCTCCGAGGGAGGCGCCAGTCCAAGAAGCAGTACAAGCGCCTAGATGTCCTCCTGTCAGACTCTCCCTCCTGGCCCCCCCTGGACCAACATCTAGCCCCGCCCCAGTGGCCTGAGCTAGCATCAGCCTCTCCTCCCATTGCACAATATTGAGAGATTCGATTATCTGGCCCAGGTTGCCTCGATGGGAGGAGTTTAAACCGGGTGAAAAGTGATTGCATTAGTTTTGGAACCGGGCTGCCCGGGCATGAGCCAGCCAAGTGCCCAGCTCTGGCGAAGTCGGCTCAAAACAAAAGTGACGTAGGTTAAGCACGTGAAGTAATGAGTAGGATTCTGTGTTCACATGTAAAAGTGATTGCTTTTGATAAACGCATTCCGTCTTCCAAAGGAAAATTTGAACATATATTTTATCGATAAGCGGTGTATGTTTCTGAATGATAAACCATGCTCCCTTATTGACATGACCGAGCAGTGCAGATTACTGTTCAATTTGAGAAGGCGCTCCTTCTCAAACCGTGAACCGTGGTTAATTTTAATCGAACTCCCTCAATATTCCCCCTGCCAAAGAGTGCCTATCTGAGCCACATCCACAATGTCGCAGTGAGGACAGTGAACAAACCTCTGAAGTCTGTTTTACACATTTTCTTTTTCAACAGCAGTGTGAAGTGCAATACTGTGCCACTGGTACCAGCCAGCGATGTAAGATTATGAAAAAGTCAAATGTTCAATATTATTAGGAATAAAAACTATTTTTATTAATGTTCGTGTCAGGTTGTATTAATGTTTCTCTATGAGAGGTAGGTGGTTGCAACGCAATAGAGAAGTGAAACGTTTACAAAAGCGCTAATTTGATTCCATCAATGTGTTCAATAGGGGACTCCAATGGACAACAAATGTGGATTAAGATAAATGTATCCTAATATAATTTAACTGCCATGGCCATGTTGAGATATAAAAGACAAGCAGTAGATTATTTTATAAATCATTTTTATTAAAATCAGTATTTACAGGCAGTTTTGTTCTCACTGAGCTTCACAAACCCAGTTGATCCTGTCTCCCCCTCTTAGTAATGAGTCAGTGCAGACAGAGGACTTTCAGAAAAACCTTAGTATCCAGGGTTACCCTCTGGCATAAAGTTCACACAACCAAAACCTCTACTAATATGACATCGGATGAAAACTGAATAGTCAGTGGGGAGGCGATGTTACTGAACACTCCTGATGAATGGTTGATAGACACAGTACTGTGAAAGTATTTGCTCTACTTTTGAATAAATAGAGAAAATCAGAAAGGGGGCAAATACTTTTTCACGGCACTGTCCATCACAGTGGATACCTTTCATTCCAAACATACATTAGTTTAACATTTGGGCACACCTTCCAGATATCGGTACAGCATTACGTTTTGAAAGTAGGTGCTCTCAAGCTCTCAATCAGTTTTTTTTTGCACTTGATCCCTCCCCAAAATACAGGCTGGCATTGCATTCATTATAATCAGCACCCAAGTTCCTACTTAAGTGAAGTACATTAGAAGAAATGAACACAGCTGACAATATACACTGCTCAAAAAAATAAAGGGAACACTTAAACAACACAATGTAACTCCAAGTCAATCACACTTCTGTGAAATCAAACTGTCCACTTAGGAAGCAACACTGATTGACAATACATTTCACATGCTGTTGTGCAAATGGAATAGACAACAGGTGGAAATTATAGGCAATTAGCAAGACACCCCCAATAAAGGACTGGTTTTGCAGGTGGTGACCACAGACCACTTCTCAGTTCCTATGCTTCCTGGCTGATGTTTTGGTCACTATTGAATGCTGGCGGTGCTTTCACTCTAGTGGTAGCATGAGACGGAGTCTACAACCCACACAAGTGGCTCAGGTAGTGCAGCTCATCCAGGATGGCACATCAATGCGAGCTGTGGCAAGAAGGTTTGCTGTGTCTGTCAGCGTAGTGTCCAGAGCATGGAGGCGCTACCAGGAGACAGGCCAGTACATCAGGAGACGTGGAGGAGGCCGTAGGAGGGCAACAACCCAGCAGCAGGACTGCTACCTCCGCCTTTGTGCAAGGAGGAGCAGGAGGAGCACTGCCAGAGCCCTGCAAAATGACCTCCAGCAGGCCACAAATGTGCATGTGTCTGCTCAAACGGTCAGAAACAGACTCCATGAGGGTGGTATGAGGGCCCGACGTCCACAGGTGGGGGTTGTGCTTACAGCCCAACACCGTGCAGGACGTTTGGCATTTGCCAGAGAACACCAAGATTGGCAAATTCGCCACTGGCGCCCTGTGCTCTTCACAGATGAAAGCAGGTTCACACTGAGCATGTGAGAGAGTCTGGAGACGCCGTGGAGAACGTTCTGCTGCCTGCAACATCCTCCAGCATGACCAGATTGGCGGTGGGTCAGTCATGGTGTGGGGTGGCATTTCTTTGGGGGGCCGCACAGCCCTCCATGTGCTCGCCAGAGGTAGCCTGACTGCCATTAGGTACCGAGATGAGATCCTCAGACCCCTTGTGAGACCATATGCTGGTGCGGTTGGCCCTGGGTTCCTCCTAATGCAAGACAATGCTAGACCTCATGTGGCTGGAGTGTGTCAGCAGTTCCTGCAAGAGGAAGGCATTGATGCTATGGACTGGCCCGCCCGTTCCCCAGACCTGAATCCAATTGAGCACATCTGGGACATCATGTCTCGCTCCATCCACCAACGCCACATTGCACCACAGACTGTCCAGGAGTTTGCGGATGCTTTAGTCCAGGTCTGGGAGGAGATCCCTCAGGAGACCATCCGCCACCTCATCAGGAGCATGCCCAGGCGTTGTAGGGAGGTCATACAGGCACGTGGAGGCCACACACACTACTGAGCCTCATTTTGACTTGTTTTAAGGACATTACATCAAAGTTGGATCAGCCTGTAGTGTGGTTTTCTACTTTAATTTTGAGGGTGACTCCAAATCCAGACCTCCATGGGTTGATAAATTTGATTTCCATTGATAATTTTTGTGTGACCCCCCCCCCCCTCCCCCTCTCTAATTCCTGCCAGAACCACCTATACAGTTGTTGGAATTAACCAATATTTACAGGATTATTTAAAATGGGGTTAAGTTCATGTTGATTAAAATACTGATCTGACATTACTACCGCCTCATTCATAAAGGCAGAAAAGCTGCTTAAAAATTTATCAATATCCACTTATCTCCATTTGTTGTTTTGTTTTACTGTTTTTTTATTTTGTAAATAGAAATCAGGACAGTCTGGGAGACTACAAAAAAGCTCACTTTAAAAAAAGAAAAAGACAGCTGTAAACAGAACTTCCACACATCACCCTCTTAAAAACGAATGGCAATGGACAGATTATTTGATCATCGTCCATAACCAAAATAAAAACGTGAGGAAGGGGGATTGAACAGTATTATGGCTGGGTGAAGCTGGTAGTATGTACCACCATCCATCTATTGCCTTGATTTGCTTCGGTAACTACTCTTCTCTCCTTTGTTCTCAGGAATCCTCTGCTCTCAGTATTTCCAAATGGAAGAGTCCACGGCTGATGTCCAAATTAGCCGTATAAAGCAGAACCTCATAGGTTTCCCATGACAGACCAGTTGCTGGTCACACTTTGGGCAGATAAGAGACGAGAGGATTCCTTGGGCAACATGGGTGTAGGGTGGGGTACTTAAAAGGGACCATCACAGTGAGCAGAATCCGGAAGATGTCCTTATCACAGTGTTAAACAGTTGTGGTGGAGAGAGAGAAAGCTTGTTTCCCCTTAAGGCCCTCTAAGCCTTCCCACACATTACCAGTGGGAGCCATGAGGGGAGAACACATGCATTTAGATTCACAGCACATCCCATAGAATTAGATAAAAAAATTTACCCTGCTATAACCCCTTTGAGGGTGCCCAGCCATTTCATCTTCCTCCCCATGTCAGCATGGCCCCTCATCCACTTATCTGTTTTGGCGAAAGCCGTGTGTGCCGTCTGGGCCTGCTGGTTGGCGAACAGCATGATTTTTTGATAGGTCCTCTGGGGGTGTGGTGGAATTTGTACGCCCTGGTCTGGAGGTAGGGAGAATACCAAAAACATATTGGGGTGCTTATGTATTTATGTAATCAACTACAAAAACAGCTTTAGTCAAAGTTGGGCTTCCAAAATATATGTAGCAGATAAATGACAAGATACCCAGACTTTGTTTACAGAATCAGAGATGATGTCCGATCCAAACAGCCACAGGTATACACACATACAGTAGGCCTATACTTGGAATTAACAGTTGTAACATGGCAGATGTAACTGGTAACAGCATGCGTGAGGTATTTATTTACCAGTCTGTGTTCGGCTATTCCTGAGGCGACTCTTCAGGGCTGGCGCTGCCTAGTATTCTCTTCCTGGCCTCCGCGTACGCCGCCTCCCGCTGGGCTAGGGACTTGACCTGTGGCGCGGGACGGTTCTGGCCCTGGGGTGACCCTAACGACCCGTTACTGGAGGGCCGCTTCAGAATGCGGATCTGGGGCGGGAGCGCTGCGTGGGGGGAGTCGTCCTGGATCACAATGGCCGTCTTCAATGGCGACCGTGTAGAGTTATTACTGGACACTCTGGGAGCAAAACAACAAACTAGTGTGAATGCTGATTTCAGTGAGAAGGCTGTGAGTAGGAGAGGGGACTATGAATGTGTCTGTACCAGTGGGTGATGAGGGGAGGTCCAAGGGAAGCCTAGATCAATGAAAGTATTTAAGAGAAAATGCTTAGTGCGTGTGAGGTGGACAGGAGATGTTATGAGTAATGTTAAGGTTATGAAATACAAATGCCTTTAATTAAGAGACTATTTTCCAAAATTCATGTTCATTATTTGAAATGTTCGCCCTATTAATTATTTGAGTAATGCACGTGTCAAACTCATTCCATGGAGAGCTGAGTGTCAGTGGGTTTTTGCTCCTCCGTTGTACTTGATGAATTAAGGTCACTAATTAGTAAGGAACTCCCCTCACCTGGTTGTCTAGGCCTTAATTGAAAGGAAAAAACTAAAACCAGCAGACACTAGGCCCTCCATGGAATTAGTTTGACACCCTTGGAGTAATGAGTGATGTGTGAGTGAGTGCTTAGTAGTGAGTGTCTTTCGAGGGCCAACAGTGTTCTTTACTCACTTCTCTTTCTGGCTGATCCTAAACTTTTCTTCTAATCTTCTCTCCATTTCCTGCATTTAAGAGACAGAACAGAAAGATCTGTGATTAAAATGCAATTGTGCATTTCATACAGCATGCAAAATTGTAACGTTACGCCAAATGCAACTTGAAAGTGGTATCCGGGGAGAGTAACGTTAGCAGGTGGAGGGTGGCTGAAACTATGGAGGGCTGGATTCAATTTCAAAGTAATTTATACACTGGCAATAAAGCAAGGCTGAAATATAGGCTAGAAGCTGGAAAATTGACTTTGAGGTAGAAAACCGATTGGCACCATGATCATTTTCAATAGATGCTAGCTGTAATATTGCTATCGCTGCTAGAGGGGGGGCACACGAATCAGGATCAAATGTTTTATGAAATATGCATGAATTCACAAGTTAGCCAGCTAGCCAAGACATGTGGATTTTAAAGCGCAACGTTAAGGCGTTTCAACAAGCTATTTTGGACAGAGCCCCACAGTTGACGCGTCATAATACCCATTAAACCTAGCAGTGAAACACAGAAATGGATTCAATCGTTTTTCCACCATTCAATTTTTCCAATAGGGGATTTTAGAGCCACTTCAAAACAAGGTTTGTGTTTCATGTAGGCTTTTTCTGGCGTGACGTTTTGATAACCGTGTAAATCTCTCTCGGACAAGGTGATTTATCAATATATTTGGCTCTATTTAATCTGATTCGAAAATGCTAATTAGCATCAAAGTAAACATCATGCAAGACTACAAATCCCTGCAAGCTCCTGCACATCATCTCTAGCTAGCTATAGCTACCTTGATCCCAAAACGAAAGATATTTAACATGTTTAACAAATGTCTTATTTATGCATTTGGTCTTATGTGGAATACTATCCTAGTAGCAGTCAGATATTTACAATGTGCCATGAATACTACGCTAGTTTTTTGCAAAGCTAGCTAGCTACCTACCTACGATGATATTAGCAACGTACCCTTACTCTATATTTAATCCCTTATCATTTTTGAACGAGGTGAAATCTATTTCAATTTATGGTGTCAGAATGCACTGCTGTATTAAAGCAATTCAGAACAAACTTGTTGAGATGTGTTGCAGATTGCAAGCCAGATTATCTCATTGCAGAATGTATCTATAATCATGAATAAGCATATTTATTTGACAAGAATGCACCTAGTCACCCATTAATCACAAACACCTGAACTCCAGCAATTGTTTTAAAGAAACCAAAATAGTAAACAATGCATACATATACCTTTTATACATAACATAGAAACATCTGAAGTAAAGATTAAATTATTTATTCATCAATGCCACAAAGCTGAAACATCGAAGAGCATCATATTAACTATTATTACTATCCAAGAGCGCACAGATTCTCCGGCTTTTCCATTTTAGGAATTAGACCAGCACAAATAACAAATTATAAAACAGCATATTGTGATTTTTGGTGGGTGAGTTAAAAATGGAGAAACAACTGGATGTGTACGGTAGGTTTAATATAAAATGCCAGGTCAACTCCAGCAGAATGAGAAACACACTTAAGACTCAAAACAAGGAAGCCATGCCTAAACGCAGCTATATCAACACCCATGTTAATGTAACAACCCCAGAATAAGCAGGACAGCATTGTACAGGTGAAAAAAAGGTAGCAAAAACGGTACAGCACAACACTTTTAAACGTGTTACTGAATATAGATATCAAATCAGGAGAAGGAAGGAAGCAGCATAGGGAAAATGGGTGGGTTTATAGAGATAAGATGGAGAGTTCCAAATTGTCTGAAGTTGAGGGACCATGGGGCATAAAAGGCATAGTGTGGAAGAAGGGTTATCTAGAGGGATGGTTGGCCATGGAATAAACATAAAATGGGGTGCCGGTGTGCTTCTGCACCCCTTTTAGGTCGTCACAAATATCAGGCCCATGTCCAGTCATACTCGGGGTCTCAGTGTGTGTCCCTCGACGTCATTCCGTCTCAGTTGCAGCATTCAAATTGAGGTCATCTTGTGTGTGAATCACAACATTAAAGATTATGAGTGATCACAGCATTTCCACCAATTGAACCATACACAATACAACTTAAGCATTAAGGACAGCATTTTGTTGACAACATGGTGGAATAATCTTACCCCAGCTGTAGGTCCATTTGAGTGTGTGTGGTGACTTAGGCCTGCACATCAACCAGTACTGGGTCCATTGAAAACTTTGGATGCTTGCTCTCAAAGTGCTGCTTGAATGTCTTCAGGTCTGCGTCTATAAAAGTACAAAATGGAGGAAGTTAATCTGTGGCTTGCTTTAATTGAATTCAAAGTTGACACAAATGATAAACTAAGCAATACAACAAACTACTACACATCTGAAAGACTGCCACACAGGCCAGTACAATAGCCTACACATGGAGAGGAACCTAAAAAGGCACATACAGTACCAACCAATAATACTCAGACAGACAGGGCAGGTGTACACCAGTGCTGCCTTGGCTGTAGTCTTCTGCCCCGCAGCTGCTCCCTTAGCAGCCGCCACCTTGGCATCAGTCAACAAGTTTAACTTCAACTTGAGTGGAGCATGCGTTATATAAATACCATCAATATATAGTGCCTCGGAAAGTATTCAGACCCCTTGACTTCTCCCACATTTTGATACATTACAGCCTTTTAAAATAATCCTTAGCAATCTACACACAATACCCCATAATGACAAAGCAAAAACAGGTTCAGAATTCATTGGAGTCTACCTGTGGTAAATTCAATTGATTGATCATGATTTGGATAGGCACACACACCTGTCTATACAAGGTCACACGGTTGACAGTGCATGTCAGAGCAAAAACCAAGCCATGAGGTTGAAGGAATTGTCTGTAGAGTTCCGAGACAGGATTGTGTCGAGGCACAGATCTGGGGAAGGGTACCAAAACGTTTCTGCAGTATTCGAAGGTCCCCAAGAACACAGTGACCTCCATCATTCAATATTTTTAAAAATAATTTGTTGTACCCCTTTTTCTCCCCAATTTCGTGATATCCAAATTGGTAGTTACAGTCTTGTCCCACCGCTGCAACTCCCTTACGGACTCGGGAGAGGCGAAGGTCGAGAGCCATGCGTCTTCAGAAACACGACCCTGCCAAGCCGCACTGCTCGCTTAACCCAGAAGCCAGCCGCACCAATGTGTCGGAGGAAACACAGTCCAGCTAGCGACCGAAGTCAGCTTGCAGGTGCCCGGCCCGCCACAAGGAGTCGCTAGAGCGCGATGGGACAAGGAAATCCCGGCCAGCCAAGCCCTCCCCTAACCCGGACGACGGTGGGCCAATTGTGCGCCGCCTCAATGGTCTCCCGGTCACGGCTGGCTGTGACACAGCCTGGGATTGAACCTGGGTCTGTATTGAAGCCTCAAGCACTGCGATGCAGTGCCTTAGACCGCTGCGCCACTCGGGAGGCCTCCATCATTCTTATATGAAATGAGTTTGGAACCACCAAGACTCTTCCTAGAGCTGGCTGCCCAGCCAAACTAAGCAATCGGGGGAGAAGGGCCTTGGTCAGGGAGGTGACCAAGAACTCGATGGTCACTCTGACAGAGCTCCAGAGTTCCTCTGTGGAGATGGGAGAACCTTCCAGAAGGACAACCATCTCTGCAGCACTCCACCAATCAGGCCTTTATGGGAGAGTGGCCAGACGGAAGCCACTCCTCAGTAAAAGGCACATGACAGCCCGCTTGGAGTTTGCCAAAAGGCACCAAAAGGACTCTCAGACCATGAGAAACAAGATTCTCTGGTCTGATGAAACCAAGATTGAACTCTTTGGCCTGAATGCCAAGCGTCACTTCTGGAGGAAACCTGGCACCATCCCTACGGTGAAGCATTGTGGTGGCAGCATGCTGTGGGGATGTTTTTCAGTGGCAGGGACTGGGAGACTAGTCAGGATCAAGGGAAAGATGAACGGATCAAAGTACAGAGAGATCCTTGATGAAGTTCTGAGCGCTCTGGAGCAGGTTCTCAGACTGGGGTGAAGGTTCACCTTCCAACAGGACAACGACCCTAAGCACACAGCCAAGACAACGCAGGAGTGGCTTCGGGACAAGTCTCTGAATGTCCTTAAGTGGCCCAGCCAGTGCACGGACTTGAACCCGGTCAAACATCTCTGGAGAGACCTGAAAATAGCTGTGCAGCGACACTCCCTATCCAACCTGACAGAGCTTGAGAGGATATGCAGAGAAGAAATGGGAGAAACTCCCCAAATACAGGTGTGCCAAGCTTGTAGCATCATACCCAAGAAGACTCGAGACTAATCGCTGCCAAAAGGTGCCTCAAAGTACTGAGTAAAGGGTCTGAATACTTATGTAAATGTTATTTCAGGTAATTTTTTATACATTTGCAAAAATGTATAAAAACCTCTTTTTGCTTTGTCATTATAGGATAGTGCGTGTAGATTGAGGTAAAAAAAACGATTTAATCAATTTTTGTATAAGGCTGTAACGTAACAAAATGTGGAAAAAGTCAAAGGGTCTGAATACTTTCCGAATGCACTGTATAGTACAGAATAATGACTTAAAAGGGTGGACAGCTACAGATTTGACTGGCAGGAGAGTGTATAAGCTTTTGTTCCAGCCCAGCTTATACCCGATTACAAATCATAGCCTACTGCCGTGATTAGTTAAGTTTATTATTTATGTCAGGTGTTAGAGCTGGTCTGGGACAAAACCCTTCAGACACTTCTGCTCTTCAGGACTTCCTGCAATGACTGAAACAGGATAATAATGTTCCAGGTTAACCTACTTGAGGTGATATGACTCAGGCACACCCATTGGTTCTGGAATTGAGAAGGTGCAAATAAGGTTTGCAATTTGGCATCAACAATATGACAGTAATTCTACCTCAAAAACAAACGTGTTAATACCAATTAATTTATACTAAACAAAAATATAAACGCAACATGTAAAGTGTTGGTCTCATGTTTCATGAGCTGAAATAAAATATCCCAGAAATGTTCCAAACGCACAAAAAGCTTATTTCTCTCAAATATTGTGCACAAATTTGTTTACACCCTTGTTCGTA